GGCAATTAAGGTTATTAATGGTTCTGACCCTTGCAATATTAAAGAAAATCCTGAATATTAACCTTATGACCTAAAGGGATTTCCTCTCATAAGTCATGCTAATTTTTTTATAGCTCCTAAAAATATTCATTTGTATTTTGTATTCTTGCTATAGATATCCATTTCATAGAATCATAGAATAGTTAGGGTTGGAAGGGACCTTAAGATCATCTAGTTCCAACCCCCCTGCCATGGGCAGGGACACCTCACACTAAACCATCTCACCCAAGGCTTCGTCCAACCTGGTCTTGAACACTGCCAGGGACGGAGCATTCACAGCCTCCCTTGGCAACCTATTCCAGTGCCTCACCACCCTAACAGGAAAGAATTGCCTCCTTCTATGCAATCTAAACTTCCCCTGTTTAAGTTTCCACGCAGCCTTCTCTTCTCCAGGCTGAACAGCCCCAACTTCCTCAGCCTGTCTTCATACAGGAGGTGCTCCAGTCCCCTGATCATCCTCGTGGCCCTCCTCTGGACTTGTTCCAACAGTTCCATGTCCTTTTTATGTTGAGGACACCAGAAGTGCACACAATACTCCAGGTGAGGTCTCACAAGAGCAGAGTAGAGGGGCAGGATCACCTCCTTCGACCTGCTGGACACACTCCTTTTGATGCAGCCCAGGATACGGTTGGCTTTCTGAGCTGCGAGCACACGCTGCCGGCTCATATTCATTTTCTCATCAACCAACACCCCCAAGTCCTTCTCCACAGGGCTGCTCTGAATCTCTTCTCTGCCCAACCTGCAAACTTTAAAAATTCGAGGAAAGCACAGCAACAAAAGAAGAGTATTTCAGAGTTAACATGGATGAAGAACGTTTGAATTTGATGATTACAATTTTGCTGAACAAAGTGGCTTTGAGTAAGATGATATATTTTCTTCCATTTCTACAAGATCAGAGTAATTCAGGTCACACATTCTCCATCACATTATATAGTCTGTGACGGGTGTATTGCCAGAAAGCTACAAACACTTGCAAAAAAGTGCAACATATTTTGTGTCTCCCTGATCTTGTGCTTTTAATAATGATTACTAATTCACTGCTGTGTTAAATGCATTAGATGAGGTTAGCTGAATTTTGATTGAGAAATGTCTTGGCCTACAATCAATGTTTTGGCTTCCCCCCAGGTCCTAATGCCATGGTGTGGAACTATATTCACAAATCTCCAGAATTAGACATGTTCTTCTCATGTGTTTTCTTTCTGGAATGAGTGTAATAACATAGCTTGTTTGGCATTTTCTGGTTTTAACAGCAGGCAGAAGAAAGCTTTTTTTAATATTTTTATATTAACAGTCCATTGTTAATAGCTTTGTGTTCTCTGCAAGACTAAAAATAGTAGTCAGAGTAATCATCCTTCTGGATTGTATTTGTGGAATTGAACAAATGGCTGATATTACCAGCTGGTAACATATGACACCAGCATTAAAATGCTGGCATGTATTAGCTGTAATGCAGTCTTGTGAATGATAACTCTATTATGTTTTCATTGAGCATACTCTTTTCTGTTAAAATTTCTTACCAGCTTTGATTCAATGCCAGATTTTTTTTTTTAGCCTTTTCATTGCTTACCCATTGTAAAATGCAGCCTGTGGCAATAAGACTTAAATATTCCTGAGGTCTGAAGGTACTGTCACTTTTAACAGCATCAAAACACCAAAATTATCTGAAGGCTCAGGTCAGGCCTTCCCACCAGCTGATTTGGCCAGTCCCACTGCCATTTGCAATTCAAGTATGAGTTCAGCAAAGAGGAATGTTTAAGCATTATTGCCAGGGGAATAAAAAGACAAAAAATCAGATTTTGAAGGCAAACCAAACATAGACAAATCCCTTTTCAAATTGTTTAGAGTATTGAAAGAACACCTCTTACCACTTGCTTTTCATTTTGGCTGTTTTACAGGTTTGAAAGTGACACTGTTTCCTCCAGATTTAGTTTATACACAAGTAGAAAATTAAGGATAGAATTTGCTAGATACTGAAATCTGCTCATTTACATGTGCAGTTCACATTAAAAAGAGTATTGATGCACCCAAATACCAGTTGAGTTAGAGTCTGATAGTAACAGTGAAGCTGTGAGTTTATGAGGTTTCGCAAAGCAGTCTCAGCAGTTGGTGTGAGGTGAGGTCTTCACCAAGGGGAGATGTGTCCGGTCGCATGGGCAGGGTCTAACCGCTAAGCAAGCACTAACTCAGCAATAGAAGTTCTGTTTCTGTGCCTGTCCTTTTCTAAACGTGACTGAAAACCTGACTGACTATTGGTGTTCTAAGAAGTCAGTGCCACACAAGGATTCAGTTCTGTCTGTTCAATTATGACTGGTTTTAACAGAACTTTCTTGCAGCTTTGAATGTTAGTTCTGACCATTTCATGCAGTAAACTGTTGTATACAATTTGGCAGTCCAGAACTGTGGTCAAAGTAGTTGGATCATGTATGTGTGTGCCCGCTGCACTATAGCTTGTAACTCAGCTGAAATATGGTTTCATAAAGTAACCAGTGGGAAATACCAAGTTTTACCGAATTATTATTGGTTTGATTAGTTCCCAAGAGGTGGCAAACTAATATGGTGCATGGATATTTATTTCAGTTTCTTAGACATCGGCTTGTTTTCTGGCTATGTGGCTGTGGAAATTTCATTTAGATAGTGAGGCTGCTGTTCATACATCTGCAAATTTTAGCCAAGTGAGCAATGTTAGCCAAACGGCTAGATCACACCTCCAAACAAGGTGGTTTGGCACATGGAGACATTATACTACTGGTCAGGTTAGAATCCTGTCTGCAGGATTGACCTGCACATCTCCATGTGGTTCCCCTGTAATCCCTTGGATAAGAATGTGTATTTACTGTGGAACTCCAGAAAGCTTAGCCAGAGCTGAAGGTTTCCAACCTGCTAGATGCTGTGCAGAATTGAAGTCACTCTTTTGGTCTCTCAGCATCACCCCATCCTTCCCCTTAATTTTCCTTCAGGTTTTATTATGTCATAACTTCCTTTGACTCCAGATGGAGCTTGCAGACTTCAGGTAAGCTGGATAGGATGGGTCAGGATGGATAGGAAGTTAAATAAACAGAACAGGTATGAGGGGCCTTCTTTCTGCCATCTCTTCTAGTTTATTCTCAAGAGTCTTCATGTGAAGGCACTATCTAGTTTTCCCCTTCCAAGAGCAATTTCTGATGATATATTCAACCTTATGGATGCGGATTTTCATGCTACCACAGGGATGGAGCGCTAGTGTTTGACTCTTAAGTACAGCAGTGCTACTGTTTCTGCCAAGAGCTTTCTCTTGCAACATGCACTAAAAGGTCAAAAGTTAAAATAAATGTAAAATATGTTCAAGGGAATATTCACCACACGTACTTGACTGTCGGGGCTTCAGGATTTTTTTTTTCTTGCTTTTCTTAGTGCTGAGACTTATTATGGATTTTTATGGGTTTGAGTGTGATCCAGCATTGATACTGTAGCTCTGGAGGAGTGCCAGAAGGGAGGCTTACAGAATATCAAGTTTTATACCATCTTATGTAATGTTTATGCGGGTGGGATATGACATATTGAAATTCAGTTTATTGAAATTATTGAAATTATATTCATACTGCCTTACTGCCAGTGGGGCTGAAATAGCTATGTTCTGTGGCATTCCTGCTTGCACAGACATAGACACTCAGGAAAGACAGGTTTGCATTAATGTTTTTGTCTTCTCCAGCACTTATTTTCGCTGGTGAACTGGTGCCATTACACTAAGTGACTACATTGTGCAGTCATAGGCATGTAAATAAATAAGGGAAAGGGTCTGAATTCTTAAAAATAACAAAAAATTATTCAGGTTTGTGTTGCTGGTTTGGGAACCTTCCTTTAGACTGGATTTAGTTTATTTTCAGAAAAGGCAATATTTCTCTTATTAATCCTTTCATTGCAAAACTCATGTTACAACAATGCACAGAAACCGCTCTGCATGAGATTGATTTTATCAATCTAATTCAATCAGTGTGGATACATTTACATCTGTATAAAGCTACCCTGTACAATGCAGTTTGTTCCTGTCTAAGAGACAGAAAGAAAGACATGTTTACTCTGAGGTCACTTAGTTGCCATGTGAGAGCTTGGTGGTACAATACCACCATGTTTGGGGAAAGAGAGAAGCCACTCTCCTAGCCAAAGTGCTTGCAGTAAAAAGTCAAGACCAAACTGTAAGTGAATAAAAATGTAGCTTTTTAAAAGTGTATTTGCTACTTGAAGCTATTTAATCTCAAAGAAAAAAATAATCTACGTATTTGAGAAGCCTTTACTATAAAGGCTACCATTTCTGACCAAAATAAAGTTCCACTTTTTTTTGACTGGGCATTTACTCATCTTCTCTCATGCATCTTAACAGCCTCCTGAACAGCAGCTGGAAGTCTGATATACATTGCTGATAGGAACATTGAGCCTTTTTCATTATAGTTGTCTACCAGGGAGCATCCAGTTTATAGTTATGGTCGGAGGACTGCATAGAAACTACCTTTTCAGACTAATTCTTGCTCAGCTGTAACACAGGTGGCAGTAAACTTTCTGTTCGGTGTGGACAGAATTGAGTGGGTCTAAATGGCAAAAAAAAACCACAGAAATATAGGCTAGACAGCAGATTAGCCTTTCTTTTAGCTTTTCAGTTAATGGCATTACACTACACAGTAAGAAAAAATAATGAGACAATATTGCAGTTGAAATAGGCTGAAGAATTCTTACATGTACTTTATTTGTTTGTCAGAAATTTAGCAATTTAAGAAACCTACCCGATCTGTCATTCTTAAGCTCACCACAGTATCTCAAATCAGTTCAAAAGAAGACACTTAGCCAGTGCTTTGAAGCATCCAGACATAAATATTGCTATGTCATTCTGTTGGTTGGGATTATGTTACGTGCTGAATAATTGCTACTAATTTTTTGGCAGTATAATCAATAAAAGTGACACTGAGAAATCCGATCTTCCTTCTCTACAGGCCAGCTTTGGGTGGTCTTCTTACATCATCTTTTCGGCTGCACCAGGAGTCCTTGGCAGCAGAAAGAGAAAGACGACGCAAGGAGAGAGAAGAAAGGTTGCAAAGGATAGAACGTGAAGAAAGAAACAAGTTCAAGTAGGAACCAAATTTGCTGTCAGTCTGTTGCTTTAATGTGTGATGGATTTTAAATCATTGAGACATCCAATTGGAAAATTATTGAATTGATGAATAGTTTGTGTGTCCCTTTAGATACCTTTCTTGATCTAAGTATCTTTAAGAACTGATACACTGAACACATTATGATAAACCAGCATTTAGTAAACCAGCAATTTCTTTGAGGACAGCTTTGTGTTTGCCAGTTATACTATGTGGGTATCTGCAGACGCCAGGTTTTATTAGCTAGGGTACTCCTCAGAGTAAATCTCAGTGAGGCACAGGGTTTGAAGACAAAAGAGTGGGAGAAAGGTATCTAAAAGGGAGGAAGGGACAACACTGAGCCAACTTTTTGGGTTCTGCAAAGTAAAACTGTTTTGCTGTCTTGGGATGTATGGTAGTGCTTTTAAACTACTTTTTCTCACTTTTCTGAACATGCATCTTTTCTTCCTGGAAACAGCAACTGATGGAAGGCAGTTATCAAAATCATTGCTCAAGTTGTGGCCAGACGAAGGCCCCAGCTGAATATAGGATTCTCCATTTTCACATCTGAGAATACGTTGTGTGCTGTGGAATCCCAGGGTATGCTGCCTGAGGATAGTAAGAGACAAGCCCGCTCCTCCTGATAAATCCGTGCCTGAAAATCCCTTCACAGCCATTAACAAAGACTACTGTGGGCTTAGGATAGATAAGGAGCCTGTACCTGAAGTAGTTCGCCTACTGCCTGAAGAGTGTACACTAAGAAAACAGTTTGTTTCCTTATAAACAGGGTGGAAAGTAAACATAGAACAGATAATGTAGTAATCTAAAGAATGGTAGGATAAATGTTTTGTAGCCTCAGAGTTGGTATTTATGGAAAACATGGCACTGGGTTTCATTTGAGCTTCCTTATTAGTATGCAGGATTATTTTCACTGTAATCATCTCTTTGGTAAGAAATGGTCTGTGTCATAGTGAATTTGGAAAAAGGAATAACTTACTAGTGGTTGGTTGGTTGGCTGCTTGAAGGAGATACTCTCCTGGCTCCAGAAGATAGCTAGTTTAGAAGAAAATGAGAGGCAGAGGGAAGGTGGGAGAGCACCATAATAGGATCTTTGGCAGCCAACAGCTGCCCATGTTCTCCTGAAACAAACAATCAGGTCTCAGTCTTAAAGGCTCTTCCAAAAAATCTCCCTCTAAGTGGTATCATCAGGCTGCAGCAGTGTGCCATGGACAGCCAAGATGATCTTTCAGAAAGGAAACTTCCAGACCAAAAAAGCCACCAGGACATTTGGCAGCTTGACCTGTTTGAATAACAGATCTGCACATTTCACTGGAGATTGGGTACAGTAGTTGTTGTGTCACTAAAAGAGATCCCTTAAAGTCAGGAAAAAAAAAAATTTAAATATACAGCTTCATACCATTACTCCCGAGTCAGAAAACGGTTAACTAAATTTCATTACTGTGTTGCATATTTAAGATGACAGTTTTTCAATGCTCAGTGTTTTCATCTTCTACATTTGAGTTACATGGTCACCCAAACTTATAACTTGCATTTGAGTAGAAGGTCTCTAAAGTCACTAAACTTCACAGACAGACAGCATCCCACAGTTGATTAAACCGTCTGGCAAGAGGAGGAAAAGCCACAGCAGTCATGGGCAGTTTTGCAAGAGTTCTTGGGATTACAGTACCGTATCATAAGTCTGGCTAGAAACCCAGTCTCTGAAGATGTATTTTTTGATTAAAAATAGCACTTGCAATTCACAGCCTTAAAACTCGTGAGCAGTACTGGATTTACCCTCATGACTCATTTGTTATCTCATTCTTTCCAACTCTGCCTCAAGAACATTGCTCTAGTTTCTGGCACCATTATGGACAAACTGAAGATACTTTAAAGGAGAGCATCACCAGTTGTGAAAGAGCTTGGGTTCAGGAGAGGTATCAAAAAGCTTTATAAGCTATTACTAGCAAAAGGAATGCTTTACATAATGAGCATTCTTCTCAGTAAAAGGACCATTTTACCTGCTGCATGTATAGAGCAGTATGCCCTAAAATACAGGCATTCTTCTTCAGCTGTAGGGAAGGGTGAAAGCTGTCAAAGGGAAAGAGTAATGTTAAAATATGCCTGCTGAAAAATTCCTAGATTTTTTTTTTCCTTGGAGTTATTCCCATAGCTATTGTAATTCCAAAGAATACTCTGAAAATATGATAGAAGTATAACCAGGTCAGGGATTTAAAGAATGTGGAGGTAGCCTGAAACAGTAATATATGTTCCTTATTGTCGGACTTTTGAAGAGCACTTGCAAGCAGATGTTTGATATCTATTGGTATGGTAGATGAAAAGTAATTCCTTTGATGACAGAATCTAAAAAGAAAAAACAGTGTTTTATTCATAAATGGAATACTTCTGAAAATCTTTCTGGTACTCTTAGGTTACAGTCTGGAAGAATCTAACAAATAAGGTGAAAATCTCATCAGTTTTGTCTATCAGATTCAACAAAATATTAAAAATACATTGTAAAGAACTATCTTGCTGTGATATTGAGGGAGGCTGAATGTTCACGGGATTCTGCTGTGCTCTGAGTTAAATTTGCATCCACATTTGTGGATTTGACAGGCCTGCCTGAGATCACAGGGCTCAGGCTTCTGAAAAGTTGACCTGGCAAAAGTCAAATATATGAATTACTTGAGGAGCTGAGAGAAGGGCACCTCCTCCCAGAGATGCAGGGATGCTTGTATCTGAAAATCAGGGTGAAAAATAAAGACGTGACAGGTTGTTACCTGTCCAGTGATCCTGCATACACCTTGTAAGAGCAAAGAATTGTCCTACTCTGTAATGCCAGTCCACTGTCCCGTTTCCAGCTACGGTGACTAAAACACACTGAGGAAAGGTACATTAGAAAGAGGCTGATACAGTGTGCTCCCTGCCTTGGTCTGGCTTGCCAAGTGCTGCGGTCACTGTTTTGGGGCATTCTAGATAGAGCAGATGAGGACTGGTTTAATAGCCACTAATGCCTGCTCATCATGTATTTAATTAATTTTATTATGGAGTAATAGTAACCCTAGTAACTTTCAATTACTAGGGTTCAAAATGTACTTCAAGTTCTTCACTTTTGGTGTTTTGTTTTATTTATAGTGATGTGTAAAGATCTTCTGAACTACATATTTGGTGTACACATACCTGTGAATTATGCATGGATAAGTATATGCACACACTTTTCAGCCTATTTTACAAAAACAAGCTAATCATTTTTATCAGCAATAGTCTTCATTGTTTCTGACCGGCTTCTTTGTATTGATCTGTTTCTCCTACTGTACTTATACTTCTGTTAGCTTATTCTGCTGGTTTCCTCTGCAATTTACTGCAATTCTGTTTCTAGCCGCGATTATTTAGACAAAAGAGAAGAACTAAGACAAGCAAGAGAAGAGAGGTTTGTATATAATGCATCCATCCTTCCCTTTGGTTGTTTGCACTTTCTGTAGTCTTTACTGTGGAGCTGTCATGTATTTGCATTTTTAACTCTGCATGCACAGAATGCTTTTATTCCAAAAGACTTCTGTAAGAAAGTAGTTGTTTCATTAAAGTTCTTCATTAAAGAGAAAAATTAAGTCCAGCTGTAAGCACAGCAATAAATGAAGAGCAGTGGGACTGGAGTGCATAAGAATGATTGACGATCTATCTTTTATCTATTTGTGTGGGAAAAAAAAAGCTTACTCCATTTGCCTCAGAAATTGGCCAAAATTTAGTATAGTTATAAATTGAATAAGCATGTCTTTCTCACCCAGTGGATCCCAAGCTTTCTGGAGGGTCAGAAAAGGCAGCTGAGGATAAAGGAAATTAGGGTCACAAGCATTGCAAAACTGCAGTCACAGGCTGATGGAAATGGTTTTGACCCTCTCCCAGCATATTTTTATCTTTCAGGGCCAATTTTTCTTTGCCAAACTCTCTAAACATCACTGAGTCAATTGCAAAGCTTAGCAGTGTTTATCATTGGGGTATTGTTTTAGTTTTATTTAAATAGCGTATTTAAAGGGACTGAGGGTTTGGGGTATTCTTTTCCTTTTATTAAATTTTATTAAATGGTTTAAAAACTCTGGACTAGACTGGAAGCTATGTGCTTATGAAAGCACATTTTTCAAGGAATACTTGACAAAAGACCTTTGCCTTTCAGTAGCTTCATCTCTACCTCCATTAGTAATTGCACCCTGGAGGGAGCTCTTGTTTTTACCTGGAAAGTATGCGCGTTACTGAATAAACAGTAGATGAAAATCGTCCGGATTGCTTCAGTTCTGCTTTTATGGTTCTCTAGAGATTTTTCTCTGGAGATACTTTTGGATTACAAAGAACTGGAATTGCATTATCAAAGTATGAGAGCAGCCATCTCAGAAATCATTGTGTTGCTACGTTTTGGGTTTGGGTGATTTTTCAGTTTGTGTTTTTTGGGGAGGCTTTTTTTGTTGGTTTGTTGGTGGTTTATTTGTTTTGGGTTTTTTTTGTTTGGGATTTTTTTCTTCCTTTTTTTTTTTTTCCTAAAAAATCCTCATACAGGAGGCAGTTGGTTTCTGTCCACTGAAGTCTGATATGTTGTGGCTGAAGTAGCTAATATTAGAAAATGACTTTGAAATCTCTTGACAATAAGTGGATGGGCTTTCCTTTGTCCTTCCAGCCAAAACAATTACAAACAGTTTAGAACATTTTCTGAAATGAAACGCGTCCGAGCATGTAAGCATCATACTCAGATCATAGCAGAGTAAAAGCTTTTACAGCAAACATGCTTGTCAGCATCATTTGAAACAAATGAGAAGCAAGCTCTCCAGCACTTTCCAGTTACAAGGGAACATGCCAAGTAAACTGGAGTACTTTTGAGGAGGTGTTCACCAGCAAGACATCACTGCTGTGCAATCCGAAGCAATTTCACTGGTCAGTAGGAACATGTCTTTATCCTTAGGGTTCTTTTGAATTTCAGTTCTTCCTCAGAAAGCGGAAAGACACATTTGCTTTGACAGCACATATATATTGGAGAAACCTTCTTCAAGTTGCAGAAGTCTTGCACGTATCGTCCATTACATTGGCCTTCTGCAACTATCTTTTTAACACACACCTTTGCACAAGTGAAATTTCATTTCTTATAGCAAGTTGCATGTTGACTTAAGAGAATGTATGGACTATAAAAAAAAACGCTACAGCCAAAGTCCTAAAAACCTAGTTAAAATCTGGATTGCACATTTCCTGTGAATCAGTTTGTAAAAGTGGAAGGAGATGCTATTGAGCACATAGGAGCATTCTGTGTGCTATTGCATCACCCTGGAGCTCCAGAATAGAGGAATCCACTTTCCTGGTGGCTCTGGAGTGGTCGTGATATGAGGGAGAAAGATTCTTGCAGTTTCAAAGGGTCTGAGTGTAACTCAGCAGCATTCTTTCCACATGTTCTTGGCATTCAAGGATTTGAGGCCATTTTTACTTCGCTTGGTTGGGTGTTTTCCTTTGGTAATTTAAAAATAAGCTCAAGAAAGGTGAGCTCCCAAGCTCTCCATAGTGTGATTCGCAGCTCAGATGCTCTAGGCCCTGTGACTTTGTCTGTAAATAAACACTATGAATCACCTTCAGGGTATTCCTCAGAGACCTGGAGATCTCACAATGATATCTTCATCTACTTGAAGATGATAAGTGGAATGCTGTGTTCATGAGGTATACCAAATGGATAGCCCACAGACTTCCAGCTTTTCTAGAGAAGAATCAGCGTAGCTGTGATGATGTTGACAGATTTCTAAGATTTAAAGGATCATGGCAGTATATACACAGGCAATGTGTCAATCCTGTAGTGGAGGAACTACATCCACAGTACAGCAGTGGGATGGTAGCTCATCCTTTCAACTCCTTCAGGTTTTGCTCTTCATGAGACCTTGTGTATTTGATGCTGGCATTCATTCATTGTTAGAGAAATCAGGCAGAAACAAAAAGTAACCTAAATAAATGTCATTTATCAAGTGTGAAATGTTAATAAATGATTCTTCAATTGTTTTTATTTCTTGGCTACACTGCTATGTTTGCTTATTAGTCTGTCCATTTGATAACTAGTGTTGCTGATGTGCTGCTATGAGAGTTGCTGTTCTGGTTCCCTTTTTTCGTTCACTATAATGAACAGATATATTTTGAGAAGGCACATCTTGATGATAGACTTCTGCTTTACTGGTTGGCTGTACAGCATACAGCTACAGAAGCTAAAATGTTAAAGCAGATTAAAAAGAGCTGAGGACTATAAAACATTGTAGCTCCCCCTGTTATGGAAGGATCCGTCCAGATTTCTGTTGGCAAACTGGAAAACCTTCCTCAGCGGCAGCCAGCTGGTCTGTACCTGTTGGAGCTAAGTGATTGATTTGAATGTCTCTTTATGAGTCTGAAGTCCCATCTGCTCTACCTGGGGCGGGGGGGGAAGGCACAATACTTAAGTGACCAATGTTAAAAGAAAGACTGGCTTCATGAACTGTAACACTAAGCTGATGCCAGTGAAAGGCGTTCTCCTCTACTGAAAAGGCAAGAAATCATTCTCGAGAATTGGCTTCATGTTAGAACTGTAAACAGTTCCTATTTTATAACCATACAAGTATGTGGCTTGTTATATTTTCATCCAGAGTCTGTAGGGGTTCTTTTCCTTGCCGAATTTGTTCAAAGCCTGTGCATACCTCTGGAGGAATAAAAGAAAATGAGTTTGTTCTTCATTATTGCTGTTTGCAATAAAGCAAATTGCCTCTGAAAACACAAGGAGTGCTCTTCAAAGACACGTTTCTACGCTCTGTATGGATGTTTGCAAGCATGCATGTGTGTGTGGCTGCCATATGCACTAAGCATGTTTGCTACCACATGTGGCTGACTTCTCCCTGCCTGCTTTTAATGCACCCTCGTACACTAATCTGGGCTGTCAATGAGGCAGAAGGGGGGAGGAGTGGTGTTCCCTGTTACAAAGTGTTTACAATGGTGGGTTATAGGAGGATGACCACAGTGTTTTGGGGACATAAGCAGTAGCCTTGATTAACCTGTTTAACAGTTCACTTGTGGGTAACACAAACAGTCTAAAGCCCGATCCAGCTGTAGTCATGAATTTATTCTTTAGCAAATAATGGTGGATAAAATTAGCAGACATCTGGAAGAGGCACATATTTCGAAGTTATTTTGGTCGAAATGTATAAAGCACACTATGAAGAATATGATTGGTAGCTGGTCTTAATAAACAGTTAGTGAGTTCTGCCTGCCTAAAATGCAAAACAGATGTATCTTTGTTCTTTTAAAGTGACTTTGATGAATAAACTACATGTGACGTCAGGTACAAGCTATTGGATGTCTGAGTCCGGCAGAGAAATTTTTTAGAATAAAAAAAAAAAAAAAAAGAAAACTTTCCATTGTAGACTCTGGAGAGAACAAAGTGAATTCCAGTGCATTGCTCTCAGAGCAAATAGAAGCAGGTTCAGAGACTTTAGATAGTCAATCCAAACATTTATTATTGGTATTATTTTCAGGGAGATCTGTTTTTGTCTGCTGCACTGAACTGTTTCCCTCTCCTTGCAGCAAGTCTCAGACTTTGTCTATTTGCATCGGTATTAAGGGGCTCTGGCTTTGGAGGTTTTTTTTTCTTTTGCCCTTTTTTGGTTTTTGGGTTTTTTTTTTTTTCTTCCTTCTTTTGGATTTTATTCCCTCCCGTTTTGTTTTGGGAAAGGGAGGGCTGGGAGGAGGAGGAGGAGGAGGGTGAAGGAGGAGGGTGAAAAGGAGGACTGGCAAATGCTTCCAAAAGGAGAAGGACTGTGCAGACACAATACTATATCTAAAGGCTCTTTAACTCTGCTGGGTTTTGCTTTTGTTTTGTCATGAGCAATTCAACATTTTTCAGGGAAATAGTCTCTGCTTTGGTGTGCATTCTTTGGCAGATAGAGCAGGCAGGGAGTTTAGTGCTGTACCCCTTGTCTCAGGAAGTCAGCTCATTCTCTGCAGGTGTTTCATCCATAAACAAGCATCAGCCACAGACTTCTTTTTCTTTACGGAAACCCTCTGGAATTTAACTTTCAGATACAAATACTTGGAGAGGTTGGCAGCAGAGGAGTATGAGAAGGAACTGAAGAGTCGGAGCATAAGCCGAGGCAGAAGTGAGCTGTCCTTGAACCTGAGATCTCCTTCAGCCCCATCCTCACCTGCCCCATCGTCACCTGTACCCAAGTGCATCAGCCCAGCATCCATAGAGTCCCAGGAAGAGCTGAAGACCCCTTCCACCCCCTGTGGGACCCCTCAGCCTTCAGAAGGTAAGTGAAAAGGAGGGCAGGGGAAAGAGCAGTGATTTTATCACAGTTTCTTTTGGGCTAGCAGTGCTTTTAGATGCATGAGTCCAATATAACCTCTGAGATGCCAAAGTAAAGGGTCATCTTGTATTGTTTCATGCTGTCTTTTTAAATTTCCTCTGTTTTTTGCATAGATTTGGGTATCTTCTAGTCTATTCAAGCAACGAACACACTGTTAACTGGGGCTATGATTTATATTACCATTGTCTGTTGCTATTAGAATGGAATAATTGGAAAATAGAGCATACAGAGGGTCTTAATTTTAGCATTATGTTCCTTGTATATTAGAAGTTACTGAATACTAGACCAATAATATTCCTGCCAACAGATTTTGCTTATGTGGATTCTCTGAAAGAAATGCAACAGATGAATGCCAAGATTATAATAACCTTCCAGCAAGCAAAGGCTGAATGGGACAAACTGAAAAGGTCTTGAATTGAAGGCAGGGAGGGTGTGTTGGTTATTTTTAATACCAACAAAAACTCTTAAAATTGTAGCACAAGTAGTAAAGGACTTAAAAGAGACCACAGACAATTTGTATAAAGGAATGTATAATTAGTGTTTGCATGGTTGGTTTGCTGTCATATAATTTATTGGTGTGCAGAGCAATACTTTTTGTGTGTGCACGTCATTCTGCTACTTGCATCATGTACCCCTCCTTCAGTCCTCAAGAAACACCCACCATACAGATTTATATTTGCGCCACATGATGTTGCATTAACATTGGGAGCTAGAATGCATGTTGAGGGTGAATTATCACCATCATTCTTTTTTATTTGATTTGATTTCCTGCTACATGCTATAGGTGATTAATGCATTTGTAACTTGCACTGCTTGGTTTTATTGAGTGTTATGGCTGGTAGCATGCTATAAAGCAAGGCAATTTAAGAAAAAAGTAACAAATACCGAATGTTGCATATGTTTATCCTCACTGTACTAAGTAGGTGAAGTTTATTTAATTTAGGTTTATATATTTTCACAATTATATTCCCAGTTTTCTTGTCTGGCACCTTAAAAGTCTCAGTGGAATCATTTGAACTTAAAAACCATGGGTATTTTTCTGTAATACTGATATTAAGAAACATCCAGATGCTCTTTTTTCTTTTGTACAATATTGCTTTTAAAGCAAATAAGCTAGATTTTTCCACCATTAGGGTTTCAGAGCTGGGTAGGGAGAAAATATCTCCTTTATGATGATTATTTAAACATATTTCTCCTGGAAACATTAAAATAAAAATGCAGCATGAAATGGAGCAGCACAATCCATTTGGAGAATGCATTTAGAGCAGGTGTACAGGGCAACTTCAGGCAGCCAGAATATGGCAAACCATTCAACACGTGGGTAGGCAGGACATCACTACTAAAACTCCTGGCAATATCAGCTGCATCAAGGGCAGCACCTTGCAAGCTGACAGCAAAGAGAGAATGTATGGACAGGGCAGAGTAAGCCTCGAGCGAAGGGCAGCTACAGGCAGATAGCTAGGTTGGCACCAGAACAGGGTCATGAAATCTGCATACTTCAGCAGGAGCTGTGCATGAGGAAGGATGCTGTTTCAGGCCTACCAAAACCCTTGGGAATGTATGAAGTAATGAGCGTGTAGGCAGAGCAGGCTCACTCATCTGGAGGTGACCAGATTATTGATTATCAGCCAACAGCTGGCAGGCTTATTTTTAGATTTTGTGCCATAGCCTCTAGACTATTATCCAAGCTCCTTATGCTCCATAATGATTTAAAATCTCGACTTTTACTATCTTTAGGAAATGTTATGAATCCCACTTAATAGATAGAGAAACTGAGGCATTAACTTGCTTAAGGAAGTTGTAGGAAAGCTGAAATACAGCCATGGACAGAATCTAGATTACATGTACCCAAAGCAGTTGCTTTGAACAGGGGAATCACTGTTTTCCCAAGAAAGGATGAAACTTCAGAAGCAAAACACTTCCTTGGTTCTGGGCATAGGACCCTCCAAAGACTCTGCAAGAACGGTGTTAATGGGTATGTGATATTCATCTGCAGATTTCAGAACCTGAAGTCAAACGGAAAGTGTGTTTTCTACTAGCAAAATTTCAAAGTCAAATTTATTTAATGCCATCCAGTATCTACTGGACTTAAGAAGGAAATGGATTTTGGCTGTGGAACTTTGTCCCATGCTGTGAAACGTCTCCATATCATTACCCAGTATAAAAATCTGAAATTACTGAGCTGAAGTGTTTTCTTGTATAAAAGAATTGGTTCCACTAAAGTTATCAAGCCTTGTAAGACTTACTCTTGTAAAACTTGGGGTATGGCATTCAGAGGAAATGAAGGCAATCCCATAACTGCAAAGTGGAACTTAACATGTTTTTTTTGAGAGAGCTACTTCCTCTTTTGTAATTTCATTGGAGAATATTTTATGAAGAGCACATGTGCAAAGAAGCACAATAACCAAGACATCTCTAAGTCAGTCAACAAAGGAATTGGAGATGAACCCTTCTCTTAGAAAAGCAGATTTTTTAGCACTTGAGGAAGTAAGCAGGCCAACCCAAGTGCACATTGTGGACAGTAGGAAGTCTTCTGAACATATTAGTCGCTGAGCAAAGCTCAAACACTGCCTACATTATGACTGGTGAAAGCATTTTGGTAAATGGAGAAGCACCAGGGTCTGAGGGTGCAGTGAGGCCATTGCAGCCCCAGTTGTAGAGCCAAAGGAACCAGAGTACAGGAAGTCAGAGAAGGAACTTGGGTGGGGGACAAAGGAAGATAATTTCTGACTTAATGAAAAAAGAGCCAGTTTCCTACTGGTAATCACTCTGTGCTAGCTTTTATCATCACAAGGAATGGGAAGAAAAGATAAGGATGGGGGTGGATGATAAAAGAGAGTCCATGATGAATTCATAGCAAGAGGATTCCTGTGTTGGAGGAACTGAAGGGAGATTACAATCAAGACTTTAAGCAATGCCAAAACAATTGAATCAAGGGAGCTTCAGGTAGGTATAGCCATCTTCAGACTTAGTGTATGTATCCTCAGGAGAAACTTAGCCTATGTACCTCCCAGCTCCAAGTAGACAGCTGAGAAAATAAATAAAGCAGATGGTTGCCTAATCTATTACCCTTACAGGGGATTAGATGTAGACACAGAGGAATGTTTGTTCTCTCTAAGGGGCTTTTAGGACTATGGGGTTGAGGTCTTACCTGCAGGCACTAGGGATGCAACATCTTGTGTCTGCTTCAAAGTTTATTTATAGTTGAGTATCAAAAGAAAAGTCACTACTCTCCATGTCCCTGTATAATGCTGTAAACCCATAGTCAAATTTTTCAGAAGAGAGCAGCTTGCTACCCATTCTAACCTCTCCCTCAAAAGAGGGCTGTCACCAACATCTGTTCAGATCATAACCGATCAGGTTGCTAGAGTTTTTTTATGACCAAGTCTTGAAAATGGCCAAAGATGCAGTTTGCACCATGTCTCAAAACAACAAAGTCATTACACATTCTCTTACACTGTCTCTTTTAGTGAGTAGGTTAGGTTCTTGAGAGATTTCAGTCTTCTGAGAAGTCTTTGCATTTTTTTTCCAATTATGCATTTTTAGAGATTAAGTTCTGGCTAAAAAAGAAGAGAGCATATAACTCAAAAATTAGTCCTTAAATATACATTCAGTTTTCCTCCTCCTGATTAATCCAATTGCAAATGAAACTTCTTCTCATTTGGTTTAAGGGGGGGGGGGGGGGGGAGAAACTAAGCCTTGAGAGAAGTGTGAAAAATGGCATTTGCAGGTAAAGAAAGATTGCCTCTACTGTTGAACTCCTTTTGTCTGGTGTGAAGATGGATCCCATAGATAAGAGACTAAAAGTCCCAGCTCATTTTCAGTAGGCCACCACCAGGCATTCACTGAGAACTGTATATTTTAACATCTTCAGAAGTCCTTATCAATAGCATCACAACGGATTACACAATGGAACTGCAAGTAATGGATACAGGTCTCGCTTGCTGGCTTGGTTCTTCTGCTAGTGTTTGCTGACAGATTTGATTTTTCAACTGCCTTTTAAGGGAAATGCTAATGGACTCAGCTCACTATTTATAAGTCATTTGGGTTATAGGTGGATTGCTTGATATTATCCCTAAAGAGAGAGAGACTGGCTAAACGGAGAGAGGAAGTAGCTGGTCTCTTTTCCCAAGTAAGAAGCGATAGGACAAGAAGTAACAGCTTCAGGCTGCGCCAGAGAAGGTTTAGATTGGATATTAGGAACAATTTCTTCACAGAGAGGGTGATCAGGCACTGGAACAGGCTGCCTAGGGAAGTGGTGGAATCACCGCCCCTGGAAGTGTTCAAAACACGTGTAGATGAGGCCCTCAGTGACATGGTTGGACTCTATGATCTTGAAGTATTTTCCAACCTAGTTGATTCTATGATTTTATGAAAATTAGTGTCAACACATCCTTGTTTAGTTATAGAAGTGCTTAGATTTTGATACTCCTTGAACTCAAAAGAGCAGCCTGTGTCAGTGTATTGCTCTTTACTCTTTCTCACGTATTAGATTCTGCTAAGATACTGTATCTTTCTGGTATGTGTGGAATATTCCTTGTTTGAAGAGTATCCAGAATTCTTTTGAATATTCTCTTTTTCTCAAACATTCCTTACATCTCCCCTACTTTATCCTATTGAATCTTCAGTGCAGCTTCTTGACAATAAAGGTGCCACAAACATTAACAGTCCTGACCATGTTTTAGTAAGTTTCTTTCTCCACCTGAGCTGTTACAGCTTTTTTGGTTATTGCATGACACTGTTTCTAGGGAGAAACATATAAAATTCATATGAAACCATTATTATTCTAGGATGAATTGATGGCAGTTGTACATATGGACCATCACAGCATGGCAAGCTCAGCATTTCATGCTACAGTACTGTGTTAATTCCATGAACTCCTGAAGGATTCCTAAGCTTCCATCTCAGTTATATTCAAATCTTGGCTTGACTTTAAACTGGTTTTGTGCTATACCTACACACTGACAGCTGTTGTCAGAAGAACACCACTGGGATTCAGTGTCTGCCAGCTTCTTGCCAGCTCTCTATAATTTTGATTTTCTCATAGGCAATGTCCAGTGTATAGCCATAGGTAAGGTACATTTAGAGAGACAAAGCATGTGCAGAGCTGCTTGCATTTCTAAAATTAGACTTTTAGATGCTCTTTATGTATAGGAAAGGTAGGCTTCAAATTGGGAGTGTTTCAAAACATCTTAGAGGGATTTGAGTGAGAATGAACTGTATATTAAACATGTACATTTCTCGTATATAAATGTATTATAGGTATGCATGTCTGGTTATTTATCTAAATATTTAAACATTAAACATTTAAAATCAATTGTGAAAGTGTAGAAGCTTAGCTCCAGTGAAATTGGTGGCAAAAAAAGCTTTTGCAATTTTGTATACTTAAATTTTATGAAATGAAGTGGAATAATAGGGTACTGAAGATGCATTACTGAAAACTAGCTTAAAGACAGAGGTGTTATTGTAAAGATAGGCACAAACATTGCTAGAAATCATTATTTTTTGTGGGGATGTCTCAGAAAGGAGTCTAGGCACACAACATGAAACAGTTAATAGATGGAAAAAACAAGTATGACTTGGTCATTGTAGTTTAGCCACCCAGCACAGAGGGAATTTGGGAGGTATGCAGAACTAACGTGCATGCCCATTTTCATCACTCTTGCATGGCCATTTCAGTTTTCAGAAAATTGTGAGCTGCTTGATGTGAATATGTGTGGATGCTTTTCAGTTTCTTTGCAGCATGCAGAGAATATTTGCATGTGGAAATCTGCTGTTAAAGCTCAAAGGCCTAAAGGTGAATGAATTTCACTGTCAGTGATAAAGCAGGGAAGAAGAAACCAAGTTTACTATCAACAGTGTTTCCTTTGTGCCAACTGATAAAAAGCTAAGTATGCCATATGCCATCCAATTGGAAACTGAATTTCTGCCGTATGCCAAGCAGTTGGAAACTTTGTTCACTTTTGATGTGGCTATTCTGAAGTAAATGTGCATGAAAAAACATATGGGTTTTGTCAGCCAGAAGTGTGACAGTGCCATTTCCAGACTGTGCCATTCAACTGTGTTAATAAAACTAATATTTGTACTTTCTCGTTGAAGTGTTCCTCATCGGGTGAGAAAAGAATTCTTCCAGAACCCAAAGAAAATTCAACCAAAAGCCACACTCTCCCTCCTTTTTGCTTTTTTAAAAGATCTCTTCCTTCCTGGCTCTGTCTAGGCACTGAGTTGTCAGTCACGCTCAAGTGGAATGCCCATTTTCTGCTGGTTGCTTCAAATCCTTATGTGTGTCCAACACTCCAGCTGTGGAAGTATGTACAGAAATAGCAGGCTGGCTCCAGACAGCAAGCAAGGGGGTTTGCCAGGCCACTCTCATGTGCAATGCTGTCGTCGCACAACATTCATCAGTCTGTTGCTCTCAATGTTCAGCATGCCATGGACTTGCTTTTTATTTTCTTTCTGTGAAGCAGTTGTACAACTTTCACATCTCTCATTTAGAGGGGTGAGCCTGAGATAACTCCGTTGTTAAGTGAATATCTTTCTCCCATTGTTCTCTTCACCAGTGAGTGCCAGTGAACCTGAACCAGAGACAGAGACAGAACCAGAACAGGAGGCTGAGGCCAAGCAGGGAACGGAGACACCCAAGGAAATAGAGACTACAGAGGTGGGACCAGAGAGTGAGGTGGAGCAAGGACCAGAAAGAGAGCCAGAAGAAAGTGCAATACTCAGTGAAAAAGAGAGGCAGAATGAGGAAGTGAATGAAAAAGACAACTGCTCTGCATCCAGTATATCCTCAGCAAGCAGCACTTTAGAGAGGGAAGAGAGAGAGGACAAGTTAACCAGTGACAATGAAACTGGTAAAGTGAAGTTTTTTCAATAATGAAGGGTTTCTGGTATAAAAAAAAATGTTTAATTAGCATCTCTGTTGTTGTGTGAATTGGCTAGCAAACCCTTTGCACCTATGTAAGACTTTCTTCACCCTGGCCAAGTTTGGTCTACTCTCTCCTTGGAAATCACAGATGGAATGGGGTTTCTATGTTTAAGGGACTGTAACACCTTGATGAAATGAGGTTTCCTTTGATTTGAGACAATTTTCTTCTCATAAGGTAATATATTAAGTGTGGAATCATAATATTGCAGCAACTTGAAACTCTGGCTCCCAGAGAATCCTCTACACATAAAACAGTAAGACAAGGGGTTGTGCTGAAATAAGTTGTCATGAGATTCCAGATATCTTTTCTCATCCTTTTAGTGGAAGAGAAAGAGCAGTGAGGGCTGGAGTGTTTGTTCCTTCCCTCCAGTTCTCCCATCTTGGTTAGGTTTCAGAAAGCAGAGAGGGATACATTGGGTCACTAAGATATGTGGCCATCTTTAGCTGGTGTGGAGGAGGCACATGAAGTAGACCTCGACTGGAAAAGACCATTTCTGCAGTGAACAGTTGTTCTGTTCAGGTGTGCCACCAGGCGCCTGTAAAGGCCCAGCCTAGAAGTGGCCTTAAGAGCCAGCTTTCTGCCTGGAGAGATAATGACAACTACAGCTTGTCATCCAGCCCAGGCAGGGAGGGAGTGAAAGGCAGATTTTGAACCTTTGATTAATTATTCTTTTCCCCTTTTTCTAGGGAGGTGAAGGAATCTAATGTTGTTAGGGCATTTGGTTTCCAAGTTTTCTTAAGGCTGAACAGTTGAGTGCATTGTTCTAAGTTTTCTAAATTCTAGATAAGAAAACAAGAATTACAAAAATTCACAGTTTGAAATAGTCTTGCTCTTTCCTGAAAGAAGAGGGATAACTCTGAATCACAAGGATTACCTCACAGAGATAAACTGTCAGATTGTATTGTTCGTGTTTAAACCCCACCACTTCTTGGGGTTTTTGTTGGTGGTGATGTGGGTTTTTTTTCCTGGGAAAAATTTTATGGCACAGACAATTAATAACATCAATTTATTCTAAATTTAAGAGCTATTTTTTTTTTCAACCAGCACTGAGATTGAGTTACCTAGAATGCTATTGTAGTCTAAAAGAATGTAGATGGATATGTATGTAGGAAAGGGAAGGGACGTAGGGCAGATGAAGGACGTTGTTACACTGTGAAGGATGTTGTTACACTGTGGCATGTTCCAAGATAGTCCAAGTGCAAATAAGGGAGAACAGGTTAAAGGGTTTTGCCCTCATCTTGTCAGGTACCAAGCTGTTACTACTCTTAAGTGCTTACATGCTTTTTGTTAAAAACTAAGAAATGTACACTGTTATTGAAAAATCAACATCTTAAAATTGATCTATGTTACCAGTAGACCAAAGATTTGCTAGGTTGTGCTATGTAGGAGGCCTCATGTACTGATTTGTTTGCTGTCTAGTAACTGAGGAGATTCGGAAAGCAAACGAGAGCACTTTCTTCAGCAGTTCTCACATTTCCAACAAGCAGTTTGCCATTTCTGAGGTGGCCCATTTGTTCTGCCCAGATGCATTAAGGACAAAGGAGTAAAGCCTTCAGTCCTGGCTGTTCCTTCATTAGCTACCCTGCTGAATTTGGCTTCCAGCAAGCCATGTTTCTCCAGTGATATTTCAAAGCTTTACCTGTGGAGATGAGTGCAGAAGAGGCCACCAAGGTAGCAAGAGTCTTCACTGATCTTCGATCAGCTAGGGCACATGGAGGAGTCTTGGAGAGCCAAAGTTGGAGATTTTGTCTGGGGGAATTTTGATGAGCAGTTTTGCAAAGGGGTTAAATCATGGAAGATCCCAGCTGCTGAAACTGAGAGCGGGTAGGTCATGAGGGATTTACAGGAGGGATCCAAAGAACAAATATTTGAAGGAAAAGCTGGGAGTAGGGGGAAGTCCTTGGAGAGGCTTAGCAGGTAAAATTTGTGGTGTGGGGAAGGAGTTGTCACACATCAAAGAGAAATCTAAGAAACTGCCTCAGGTGACAAGTCTTGGTGAGAAAGCAATCCCATAGGTAAGGTGTGAAGAAAAATAAGCAGGTAATGGAAGCAGTCAACCCTTCTTCAGGAAAGTTGAAAGAAACAGTTCTGGAGGTTGTATCCATTGCTGAAAAAGGACCCTTTCTTTTGTTTGGGATTAAATCTCTGGACTCATCTTAAAATGTGGTTTAGGTGAGAGTCATTGCATTCCACATACTTTGTGCTGTGAGACCCATCCTACATCTTAATGTGGTGTAAGGGGTAAGGGAGAGCTGTGGGGCCCTGGATGTGGATCTCGCCAAGGGGACACTTCTCAGAGCACAGAAATAGATAGTAAAAAAACAGCTCCATTGAAGGTAACCATAAAAGATGTTTAAAACTCTAAAGTATTAAAACAGGTGAAGAAGGGGAGAAAGGAGAAACACAGGTAAAATGGAAGTTTAAGAGAAAGGGCAACTGATAGGTATAAAGGAAAATGTTTAACCACAAGGGGCCAAAAAGAATATAGGCTAGCAACCAAAATGAAATGTGTTTAAGAAATAGAGTTTATAAAAAATACATTAAAAAAATGTGCAAAGACTATGGGGAACAGAAGGAATCCCATACAGGAAATACAGTAAGTGTGAAGAATTATCTTTGTTCGTGTTTAATCATTTCGTAGGATGCCCACTGGAAAAAGAAGCACCATACTTTTTAGACACCCTATCCACATTGGTTAGCAGCATTATATTAAAGGAAATTTAGTCACAGAGACACTTACATCATTTATTTTTACAATTTGACCACTATAGTTTGTTATTTATGGTGCTGTCTCAAACATGGTATTTTGCAGATTATTGTTGAGAAAAATAGTAGTCAGAAAGTTGAAGCTTCATTACAGTGATGTTAAATGATTGTGATGTGGGAAGAAGGCCATTAAGCTTTCAATGCCGTCATATATTACAGGGAGGGTAACAGTGGTTGATGATGGGCATCATTTTCAAAGCTCTTTTGTAAAGGTGCTCATGTTCCTAGAAGTAACTTTTAAAATCTTGCTTACACTTATTAAGCTGCCCTGAGAGCTATACCATGAGTATGCAGCCTGCTCTGGGGTTCAAATACCTCCCAAGCTATGCTGGTTATTTTCAGCTTCCATTCCTTTGTTGAGAATTACTCCCAGCCCATCAAGATTGGGCCATGTATCAGCACTCTCATTTACTTCAAATTTTTTAAAGCTACCGCTTGCCCAGTTTCCGAATAATTGTCTATGTGTCCCCCCATTTTTTCTGGTGCGTTAAAGAGTGTTCTTGGTGCTTTGGCTCCCTCCCCTTGACTCTTTCTGTCTGTGTGTGTGTGATTGCAGGTCCATGGTCACAGACCATTCAGGATGCTGGTGTGAATGAACAGTGCAGCAACATTCTCAACAACAAGCGGTTTATGCTGGACATGTTGTATGCGCATAACAAAAAACCCAAGGATGAAGAGGAGAAGGAGCTGGAGGCGAAGGAGGAAAAGAAGGAGACGGAGGAAAGTGAGGAGTCACTCACTAGCCTAGCCAGTAGGATCTCTATCCTTCAGGCCACAAAGCAGGCCAAAGACGAAAGCGTCAAAAAAATGGAGATTGGAAATCTGGACAACCAAGGCAGCGTGAAAGCCTTTGCAGAAAAATTCAACAGTGGTGAGCTGGCCAAGGGGACAGATGTGCCTGAAGATGAAATCACTGAGCAGGTCCCTGAGAAAACTCCAGCACAGCCGAAGAAGGAATCTGACTACATCTGGGATCAGCTCATGGCTAATCCTAGAGAACTTAAAATCAAAGACATGGATTTTACAGACTTGGGGGAGGAGGATGATGTAGATGTGTTGGACATGGATATGGGTCCTGGGGACTCCCTTGTTCCCCCTCCTCCACCTCCACCTTCCTTTCTGGGTTTGCCTCCTCCACCACCTCCCCCGCTGTTTGGATGTCCGCCTCCACCTCCACCCTCTGCTAATTTATTGGCTCCTCCTCCGCTGTTCAGCACTCCTCAGGGTTTAGGGTCACCCCAGGTTTCTAGGGGTCAGCCAGCATTTATAAAGAAGAAGAAAACCATTCGTCTGTTTTGGAATGAGGTACGGCCATTTGAGTGGCAGTGTAAAAACAACAAACGCTGCAGAGAATTCCTGTGGTCGAAACTGGAACCCATTAAGGTGGACACTTCCAAACTGGAGCATCTCTTTGAGTCTAAATCCAAGGAACTGCCTGTCACAAAGGTACAGCTCGTATTCAGCTTATTATTTTGCTTTTGTATTGGTATTTGTTCTGAGTTAGATCTACATGATTTATGTTGTTTGTATGAAAACGGTGGAAAATTCTGGTTCTCACTTGGCCTATGATGGGTGATATTCCATGGCCTTAAACTAGGAGATGAGTTTAGGGTGGTGTAGATGCCAAGCTGCCCTCCTGTCTCAGGTCTGTCGGTATTGGGACATTAATTCAGGTGGGGAATACCAACACATTCTATGTTAGCTTGCTTGTGGCTGAGTGCCAAACTAGGTATTGAAATCTGAAATATTTTCTGTTACAGTCAGATAAAGGTCATGGCATGATGATTCATATCTGTGAATTTGACCGTTCTTCACTTGGTAATATTTTCCTAATCATTATGTGGAAAGGTTAGAATACCAAACTGGCTCTGCTGCAAAGAGGCTACACATGTGCTTTGTTCTGAGGGATAGATTTATCAGCTGGACCAAGTTTACAGCTGAACTCCGCAGGGGTGTTGGATTTTTGTTTTATACTGGCAGACAGGCCTATTTTAGATCCTTAATTTGTACAATGTGGCTCTCCAAATTTTAGGATAGAAGCTGGCACAGGAAATACCTCTGTAGCTAGGGTTCCCTCTTCCTTAATATTGTTATAAAATAAATTCACAAAGGCTGGGTGACATGGCTGTTTAACATTAGACTCAACAACAAAAGGGAGCCTTTTATAGTTACACTTAGTAGGAATTTGAAGTGACATTTAAAAAGTTATTAAAGTTGCTTTTCATGGCTACATAAAATTCTAAGCAGAATAATCAGTATCAAGGAAGCAATTTTTTTTCCAATTAAAATGCTAGTAAAAGATGTCAATCTCTCTTACTTAAATAAATCACTTACATGTTTTTTCTGTATGCCTCTATATTTTATAGTGACACAAAAACCCATCAGCACCTTGAATATTTTACTTCTCTTTGGCTGGCAAAGTTGTTATCTGTGCTATCTATCGTGCATATTATTGTTTGCTGTCATCTAGGGAGACTGGATGTCCCACAGTAAAAGTGCTCCATGTCACTTGTGTGAGTTATTAACTCAAAATTTTCTAATAGTCCTTCTTGAACTTCTTGGCCAAGTGGAAACATTACAATTTGAACAATCAAGCCCCTCATTAAGTACCTGACAAACAACAGGTACATACATAGATGGCTTGTATAGATCCTGCCGCTGTTGTTCTTACCTGACATAGATGCATGTAGGTCTGAAACATATGGCATAGCAGCTCTAAAAACACATATAGTTCAGTTGGCTGAGATTAACTTCTTTCTCTAATTCCTTTTCTGCTGAGGAAGGAATGCTGGTGACATCGTGGTGTGTTACTCCTCATCTCTCTCCCTGTAAATACAAATCTACCACAGATGGTTTATAGATGGAAGGAATGAGAGCATTTTCTTAGATCCATAAAACGTTTAATTCCTTGAATTGAATGTGGAATGATGACATATTTGCCATTTCCAAGGTTTAGCTTTGTGCTAAATGCCAGTATTGTAATGGATCTCTCTGGCTGACTCTTAATCTTTTATTCTCACCCAAGATTTTGATAAAACGTTAAATTGTTGGAATTCTGACATATTTATTTTTACAGTCATTAACTCTGCACGTTCCCAAACTACTTTTGGCCATTTTCCCTCCCTCACACTTGCTTCGCAAACCTGCCTGATGCTTTGGCACAGCTTTTGGCTTCTGGCAGGAAGATGATGAGTGAGCAGGTTTCTTTGAAATTAGTGCAAGTCTGAGGAATGATTTAGGTGACTGCTTTTCTCTTGGAGACTAATAACTGCTCTCTGCATGAGATGTTATACTTTTGGCTCTCTTTCCACCCTGTCCCATTACACAGACATTGAAGTCTCATTGTCTCTGGAGGGAAGACAGTAGTGACCAAGGAATACCATAATGGAACTTTACTCTGACTTCTTAGACTCCTGCCTGGTTTTGGAGAATACAAGCAAATCTTCCAGAGTAGGAGATGATCCTTAGGTCAGGTGAGAGTGGGAATAATTAAGCAGACCACTGGATCCATAAAAGACTTGAGGTTTGGTACGAATATTGCACTCAAATTAGGGTAGCTCTCGCTTTTTCCAGACTGCTTGGTTTATTTCCAGGGAGTACATTCCCCATTGTGTCTAGTTTCTCCTGTCCAATGGCTGCAATCCAAAACAGGTTTATTCTATAATATCGTAAAGTCTGACTCACAGCTCAGTTCAGCTGAAGAAAAGAGCAGAGAGCAACAAATCAAAAGTCAAATCTCCAGTTTTCATGTCAATAGATGGAACCAGGAGCACAGAAAAGTAACAGTCCAGAAGGATGAGAGGAAAAGCAAAGTCAGGGGGTATGTGTTGGCGGGGGGGTGGGGGTGGCTCTGTGTTACGCATATGCTCTTTCATGCAGCTGTAACCAATTTTACTCCAGTTTCTAATCCTTCACTGTGATTTCCACAACACACAGCTATAAACAGCTACTTCCTGGCTCATGAGAAGTTTTTCATTAAACACAATAGACTGCAATAAAATAAAGTGTGTTTTAAGTTGTAGGATATAATATGGGAGTTGGGGAGAAGGAGGGCTGGGAGGGGAGAGTCTTGATTTTAGGAAAACTTATGCCACACTGGACAACTTGCACAATGATTATAGTTAGTGGAGCACCTTTAGTTGCAGAACACTTACTTTCTAAATACAGGACCACGACATTATGCTTGTGAATATAAAGAGTGGTCAGGTATCCCCTCCAAGCCAGTCTAGCATTTCTTTCTTTCTCACTCCACCAAACAAAGCACTTCAAAGTGTTTGTTTTTCTGTGAGGAGAAATGAAAACACACAGACACTACTGAATCAACCATGGTTGTTCAGCCCTTGGTTGTGCATGAAAGCTTTGTTTTGCTGATTCATCTATACCCTGTGGGATATAGCGATCCACCATATGCCCACAGACATAGAAACTAGTAGAAGGAAAAAATTAAGGCACATGTTTTCTTATGCCTGTGTATATACGTGCCTAGATACATATTCCTTTTGAAAACATTTGTTGTAATTCGAATAAATGCCAAGGCAAGTCATAAATGTTGATGAGAATTTCTGAAAAAGATTATATATATGTATCCTGGACAAAATCAGTGGCAGCTGAGTGAATGATTCCATTTTAAACTCATAGTGCTAAATCCTTGTTAATTGAGATAGAAATTAAGGAAAAAATGCCATCTGGCTATTAAGGGATTGCCCATTTTTTTCTGTACTACTGAGATGCAGGTTGTTCTGCAAATGGAAATGAAAGATATTTCTGACTTAATGCTTATATATAATTACTTATTTATGTGATCACTGGAAAAGCATTTTAAATTTTCCTATTTTAGTTAAAGCAAAGAGGCCTAGTTTAGACCATGTGCTCATAAGACTGCAAATCACCTTCTGTGGGATGATGGCAGTTTGTAAGTAACCTGTTTGGGCTATCCAGAAAGCAGAACAGAATCTGGCCAGTTAGGTCTTGTAAAGATTGAAATTCATTGTAATTGTTAGCGCATTGCAGGAACATTTGTTTCCCACAAATTACACCACTTGATATATTTGCAATTCATTTTACATTTACAGTTAACAATATAATATTCAGAAGTTCGGGGATTACGTTACATACTGACACAATAAAATATAAAATCAAGGGCACTAGTGCAATGTTCCCTCAAGCACTTGAAGTCATTCTCTGTTAATGAACTTATAAAGCCCGGTCTGAAGTCACCTAATATTGCAATAGAAATTAATAGGTATAGCTTATTTTAACAGACTCTTGCATGTGTGCAATTTAATTGCAGACAAAAAGCAGTTCTTTGCCTAGTGGTGGGGTGATAAAGTTCATAGTAGTAAAATCTTTCTTGTTTCTTCATTTTTTTTATTTATTTCAAAAGTATTTTTTTGTAACTTAGCTGTTGTCCCCAGAAGGGATGTAAAATCTCTTCTGCCCCTGTTCCTGAACAGTCACTTACCCCAAAATCTTATATTCCATATGCAGTTATAGCTCTGGAAAATACCTACATGCATACATCCCCTGTGCAGCTCATCTGTCTTTCATAACTCACTGCTAAATAGCAAGTGCGCTGTTGCAGTCTTAGTGATCCCAGTGGTTAGCATCATATGTCCCCCAAATGAATGTCCCTGTTGTCAGACTTGCAAACCTAAAAACAGAGCTGCAGATTTTGAGGCTTACTTACCCATACCGCATGTGGGAAGCCTAAATTTAACTCCTTTCCCCCAGCCTTTTCCCTTCTGCATAAATTCTTTGGAGCTGTGTAATTCTGTGCTGAGGAGGACAAGGTAAAAAGTGGTAGTTTAAAAAAGGCTTAGCATAATACAGACTCAAGAGGAAGCAGTCTCTGGTAAACCCCACTTGTTTTTGTATGGCCTTGACCTCTAACTGTGGTCCTGAAAATGTGATTAATGGCCCTGAAAGTAGACATGACTGCTTTAAAGGAGAAGTTGCATCTCAGATCCTTCAGGTAGCTCCTGAGAAAAAGAGGGCTCTTTTACTCAAAGAAAGGAAAGTTCAAGAAGGCTTCAGGAATGCTTTTAAGGGATTAAGAGAGCAGTTCTGACAGAACAGAAATATAAAAATTAAAAACAAATTTTATCTTTGCCTCCTAAAACTTACCCATTTTACTGCAGAAGTGTTTAATTTTAAAAAACCCAACCCTCTTATTACTTTCAGAGGTCATACCCATGTGGTAGTCCCCAGCTCCTGTGAAGTGCACTTGCTTTCAGTCTCATCTGCACACAGAACTTGCATCGTACCACATTAATCATGTAGGTATGATAAAAGTGCTGTGGTGCCACGCACCATGCTGGGCAGGGTGCTATGACCAGTGGGCAAACCTCTTCCTGTGAAGGCAAGGAACTGAGCTATGCCAGAAAAAGGCATCTTTTTAATGAGAGAACATCATTCGCATAAAGAGCTGACCCACAGCTGGAGGTATTTTGGTTGAATCATATTTGCTACCTTGGTTCTCCCAACGCAGAAACAGCATATAGACCTGAAAGTAGGGTATGTTTTGACTTGGTGACTGTTGTGCAGACCACTAGACGTGGAGAAAAAAAGTTTTGTGGTCTAAAAGGCAATCCTTAGCACAGATGGAGAATTTGTGCTTTCATTGTTGTTTATACTGGAGTAAGATCCAAAGATTATGTCTAGTCTCAAATAGAACTTTGAAAAAAGCAGAAGGGTTGAACCTGTTCTGCACCTGTGAAGGTTTTGACAGACATATCGCAAGCAGTAATGTAGAATACCCTTTCTCTGGCAGCCAGAGGTCAGGTAACCATGCCACTGTCTCCAGAAAGGCCTCTACAGCTCCTTTGTCAGTGCCCAAATTGGATTTATAACACAGGAGAGGACTGGCAGGCAGGTAGAAGCCACCCTGTCTGTTTCCCATCCAGCCACACAGGCGAGAGAGGGTCAGTGGCCACTCTGGGTTGACTCATCCAAGGGGATATTGAGCCCCAGCGCCCATCAGCTGCCCAGCTGCTACTGTACTGACCCTGGGGCAGAGCTGCTGCCCATCAGAGGCAGCTTCAGGCTTTTTTCAGACAGACTCCTACCCCAGACTTCAGTGTTCCCAGCCTTTGCAGGCACTCCTGTGTCTCAGGCTAGCTCTGCTTTGCACAGCGTCCAAGACTGCATTCAGCGGTCTGGTTAAATACAGGCAGCTCATGCTGATAACAGTAAGGATGTGGTAGAAGAATTCAGCTTTTTGGATGGTTATAAATGAACTAGTTTTACATCCAGTATCATCACCCTTGAGTAGGGGAAGTCATTAGTGAAAGGAGTGACTTTTTCTTCATAAAATGGGCAGGAGGAATAATATTCTTGTTCTCTTCTTTACCAAGAAAACTGCTGCAGATGGGAAGCGACAGGAGATCATTGTACTGGACTCAAAACGAAGCAATGCTATTAATATTGGCTTGACTGTGTTGCCCCCTCCCCGCACTATCAAGACTGCTATATTGAACTTTGACGAATATGCCTTAAACAAGGAAGGAATAGAGGTAAGGAAGAATAGTCAATGTCTTCAAGTCTGTATTTTCAATGTTTCCTTTACTTTTTAATTTTTTCTTTTTGATGTTATACATGATGCAGGCCAGACTTTTCTTGCAAGAGGGAAAAGGGAACTGAGTGTTGAAACTGGTCAGATCAATGCAGTATGCTCAGAAGCATGTAGTATTCACCTGAGATTGGGCATGCTTAGTAAACACAGATTCTCTGCTCTGTTTGTGTCTGAGTAACAATGGTGTTAATTCCTCTCAGGATTTTCAGAGTATTATCTGTTCCTCTGAAGCTTGACTGAAATACTGTGAGCAGCAATAGGCAGGGAGTTACTAGGGCTGATGCAACTGGTACAGGGTTTAATAAAGTTCATGCCCAGCTAGCTGTTGGAGTCATTCTAGATTGTATATCTAATGGAAAACAAATACAGTGACTAGTTCTGCTCAAAATAGCATTTTTGTGTTACTGTTGTTTGAAGAAAAGCAGTTGGTATAAAGATTACAGATGATGTAATTTTTACCATTACATTTTGACTTTGCAGATATTCTTAACAAGATCCAAGATGAGCTCTGTTTATTATTTTTTTATCAAAACATTTTTCTTCTATGAAGTGTAAAAGAAGCCTGCTACTCCCCTGTTATTTTTCCATTGTAGTTGCATTCATGTCAAATCTTTTTTTTTTTAATAAGCCTATATCATCTAGTAAGAGTAATCTACACAACTACAGATCTCAGCAAGTAGCTGAGGTGCAGAGGTTGTATACTGATTCAGTCACCTTTCAGTGGTTTGGCGCTGTGCTCCATGATTTCTCCCTTTCCACCTTCACTGTGCTGACTACAGAAGAAAATGAGAAAAGCTGGCTAGAATGGAAATGGAGTTGCCAACAGTTACATGCAAATTAAGTACTTAAGGCAAAAAGATCATTCTAGCTAGAAGGCAAGGCCTGATTTATCCCTACTAGAATGTAGTTTCTTCCCAGAGCTATATTATTTATTGGCTATATATATATATATATACTTTACTCATATTATGAAGGTGACACATCAGGCTAAAAAAGGTTTTCATGACTCAGCCCATATGCCTACCTGTGCAGTTTGCAGTACCAAGCTCTAAAGTGTTGGAGAAAAGTACCCCTCCAGCCAAGCCCAACTCACAGACCACCAGTTAGATCTCAGTACTGCAGGTGGTGTTGCCAAACGAGTCCAACATGAAATAGATAATACATCTTCCATGCATTATCTCTTTCGATTTGTGTCCTTCTCTCTCACGCTTAACAGAAGTTCAGCTGCTTTGCCCAGCTCACCCTTTCTAGTACCAACATCTGTAGCTGGGCTGTCCATCTGACAACCACCTGTGGTGTCCACAGTTGTGAGTGCCTTGCACCACCACACCCTGCTTTGCGTGGCCTTCCCATTAGCTGCCAGAAACCTGTAATTTCATTTAAAATAGATGTGCAGGTAGCTTTCAAATGGAAGAATTCAGAAACCAGGAAATGATACGCTGTTGATATACTTGCCCAGTGCTAAAGAAAATGGGTTTCTGAGTTTTGAGTCCACAGCTTGAAGCTAGGGATGTGAGTAATCCTGATGTGATCATTCAGATATTTAAAATCGAGAGAAAGGGTAAGTGGAGCAGAACCCATGTACTCTGCATCCTGAGGGGTGAAGCTTTTTAGCAGGTCTAACATGGAGCAGGACACTAGCAGGGTAGCAAGTTACCTGAGCCGTCCTTTGCCTCAGCTGTGAGCTCTGTGCTATGTCTCTTTCCAAGGAGCATTGCCACTGTCGTGTTAGTGTGTGCATGGCTTTAGGTCTGCACCTTGGTGGATAAGTTCAGATTAAATGCTATCTTAAAGACTGACCTTAGTGATTAGACATTTAACTCTGATGATTAATCTATACTTGCTTTCTAACTTCAAATATATAACTAGGAGGAAAAAGAAATCTCCAGGTATTTTAAAGCCCTCTATACCTAAGTATGTTGTGTAATTTTAGGCCATGTGTTTGAAGTGGTTAGGTACTCCATAGCTTTGAAAAAGGGCAGAAAATGGGGGCATGGTGCTAGAGAGGCAGACGTAGTCCATTTAGTATGCAGAGCAGGCCTTGTTAGAAACCTATTTTCAAAGGAATACACAATGTGTGTCTGCAAGCATGCATCAACTCAACCAAAAAATTTTTGCCACCTTATGTTTGCCAAAGTGGTTGTGTTTTCCTTTCTTTGAAAGCTTGGCATTCATTGTGTTTAAACAACTTGGAGCTTGCTGCAGGAGAAAGGACTGCCTGCTTAGCATGGATGAGGGCGTTCTGTGAGCTAAGCAAAAGAGGCGAGCTTAAAATCCTGGTATCTAATTGTTGTGAAGTGTATCATGGGCAACAGCAAGAATAGGGTCTACCAAACCAGTCTTTGGCACTTGTCTTTAGTAAAGGAAATGAGAGAGTCCCTCTGTAAAGTGTTGTTTAGTAAGGGAATGTGGATCCAAATTAATTATACCAAAGGGTACTATTAATTTAGCAGAGTAAAATTGGGGTAATGCCGTGAGGAAATTAAAGTGAATTGCTTTGTTCTTAACAGCTTTGAGATCCTACACAGTATTGATGCACAGCTAGGTATAGCTTTTAGTAAAACTACTTGAAATTAAAGCCTTGACAAGTATGCTAGGTCCTCCATGTTAAGTAATTTGAGGCCCAGGTGTCTGGAGTGACTAGGTGGCCCTCAGATGTAAAAAAAAGTAAGAAATGAGAGCCTGGTGGTAAAAAAAGCAGATGGTGACATGTATAAACAAAAAACAAAATTTGTTTTTTGGAAACTGTTACGCTTATTTAAGGTTTTGTTCTGATAGTCACTGTGGTATGCTGGCATCTGCAGTTTCCAGTTTGTTTAGCTGAAGCTTTATAAAGTGTGACGGGGACTCAATGGTGCCTTGCTGGCTGTACATCCATGATCAGCGTATCCCTACCCTAACGAGTTTCAGACTTTATTGAAAGAAAAAAGCTACACTTGCACTCCTTGCAGCAAACCAAAACATCTGCTACAGTTTCTGTGATCAGCAGTGGTGTGTTCACGTATTTCAGTAGAGAGCTGAGGAAGTGGAATAGTTTGACCAAGGCAATGGCTGCCAGTTCCCCATTTACAGGGATGGCTAACAGGCATTTTAGATTAAATTCACAAATTCAGGGAATTTGTGAGAATTGAAATAAAATTAGTGCAGGTAGCCTCACTTGACATGAGTCGTGACCTTTATATACTTTTATATTTTGTTAGAGTTTCTGCAGACACTCGTCTCTCAGTAGCTGCCTGGAGAGCTGAAATGTGAGAGCCTTTTTGGAGCGAAATCATCTGCCAAAGCCTGTCAAATATCCAGCAAAATACCCACTAAGGTGTATTTATTTGGTTATGGCCCTCAAGCTGCAGAAAGCTTTGAACCCAGCAACAGTCAGATATTTAGTTTACTCATTTTTTTTCAGGCTCCTATTCACCTGGTAAGGTCAGCTGAAACCAAATATGAAAACCAAGGCACCCCTGCAGCCTCATCATCACTGAGAAGCACCGTTGTCTTGTGAAAGAGATAACTTGAGCACGTAATTTCAGCAGAGGCTGCAGCCTATTTGCAGTCTCTGGTTAGGTGTTTCTTTGCACCCCACACTGGGGCTTGTAACCCTCAGGCATATGGGGTTTATAAATTTTGCCTGGTGACAGTTGTAAGGCTTTCCTCTTAGAAATTTTTGGAGATCATACATAAGAGTCAAGGAAATAAGCAGTTTGATCCCTTTGTTGAAAGATCAAGCAAGTGGCTGGGTCCAGCGGTCCAGGAGCATTAGGATCCATTATCTCATGTAAACAGGATCTCCAAAAATTGCTTCTTTTTCTACATGAAAAGATTTATGCTTTCGTTTTCCTCAGAATATTAATCTCTGGCCCAAACGATTGTGTGAGAATGAATAGAGGTGAAATACGTATATCTGACATATTAGAGGATATGAGCATAGAGTTTGTTGATAACCAGCTCTTCCTTAATTGGCGTTAAGAATGCTGTACCTGGGAGAGCATTATGAACTAATGATTAGACTCAAGGCCATTTGTGATTTAATGGTCACACTGAGTGCCAGTAACCTTCTGCCCTGCTGTATTTTTATGCTACTTTACTGTTGGAGATGTTTAAAAAACAATAAAAATAATAATAAACTGGCAGTCAGTGTACTCATCAGTTTCCAGCACTGAACAAATGGCTTAAATTAGTCACAGGTTGGAAATCAAGAATAGGAGTATTTTGCCACTTGTACACCAAAGATGATAACCAACAGGATCAGAATTATTTGCCTGAGCCAATTAGAAGTGCTGGTGAGTAGGTCATTGTAATGGGGTCAGTTTGCACCCTGGATGGTGTGAGACCTGCCAGCAGCGCTGGTCCCATTGAAGCATGGCTTTCAGCAGCAGGGGTGATCCTTGGCAGCTGGCACAAGTACAGGCTCTTTCGCTTGGCATTTTCTGTTTCACATACTACAGTATGCAGCACAGCAGCCTTGCAGCAATTGGACTTGAATGCTTTTTGCCATCTGACTTGTGGTATTTGCATAAAGCTCAGGGAGGAGGAGAGTCCCTTTGGAAATAAAGCTTGCTGTTTCACTGCTCTCTTTAAAATGCCCGAAAGCAGTGCAACATCTCTAGAGGGAAGGCCCTTCACCACCACAAAATACTTGTGGGATCCCTGGGTAGCTGCCAAAAGTCCTGGTTATTTGTAGGAGGCAATTGAGAATTACTGCTGAAGTGTTAGCCTTCAAAAATGCATCAGAAGCATTTTTACATTCATCACATGGTTACTGCTAAACTTCCCATGTATGGCTGTTCATATGATCCTATTTGCATAGGCTCAGCTGAAAGGGTGTTAGCTTCTTGTTGCTGAAGCTAGGAGTAGGCAGTAGGAGGCCTGACTCCTTCAAAGAACACTCTGCAAAACCACGTTTCTTATGAGTTTCAGACTCAGTCTCTCTTTTGTATAAACTTTTTAGATGAGCATTGGTCAAGCACTGAGAAATGCCCTAAAGCAGCTGCTTACAAATCTAGTTTAATGTTAGATGTCTCCTAATATATAGATTTCAGCATGTGTGGGTGGATGGATGGATGGATGGATGGATGGATGGATGGATGGATGGATGGATAGCACATACTAAAATCTATCAAGTACTATCAGTCATTGAGAGGGGAAGGAAAAGCACCAGAGTATATTGAAGGATTTTCTTCCTCTTCTTTTTTTTTCCTTAGAATGTTACTTGATTAAGGTAGAAGCTTGCAGTATCCAAACAAGGAGGCGCTTTTAAATTTTGTTTTTTACTGAAAGGCGGAGGCAACATTAACAGAAAGAAAGGCTTATTTATGTTATGGAAGTCAACGTAAGAAGATGGACAGCAATACAAATGCTGTGGCTGAAATTAAATAAGTCTCAGATCAACAAATTGAATATTATTTGCTAGCTTAACTCTTTGTTCTTTGCCTGATTGATCAGGAAAAGTCCCTTGCTCTCCATGCTTAGCTGTAGCGCTGCACAAGCAGCCAGATGAATAGCAGTAGGGGAAGGGAGTAGTTGTGCTACTTTGATCAATTGACTATGTTCAGTTCTGGAACAAGGCTTCAGTTTGGATTGGCAGGTCTTTGGCTATATTTTTATTATTCTCTCCTCCCCTCCAAAACAGCTGCTATCGTTATGCAGGGCTACAGCAATAACTTCTCACTCCTCAGATGAATAAACATAAGTTGTGTTGAAAATCTACCGCTTTGTTTTCATGAAGTACTGATCAGCAGGGTAAAGACCTCAGCTTATTTGATGCCTTTATAATGCTTTGCTTTTCTTTTTGATTTTAAATGCATTTATTACGTTAAAAACTAGTTAAGAAGCAATACCTTAGAGAGCAATACTTTGAGGAGAAAAGCTGCTACATGAAAACCAGCATGCAAAATCCAAGAGTGAAAGAGAAAATTTGAACGTTTTCAGCCATACCAACAGCAGAAACTGAAAATAATGAGATCCTTTTACATCAATATTTTAGACTTCTCAGATCAAAAGAGGCCATATGTTATGCAACACATAATTCAACTTGAAATTCAGTGTGTGTTCTTTGGGCAGTTATCCTCAGTTCAGCTGAAATTTTTGGGAGGTACCTAATAAGCTGCAATAGTTCTCACGCTTCATAAAACCCAAAATAGATTGAACAAAAAGGAATAGATGTTGATAGCAGCAAGGGACAGGAGTCTTTGAGTTATTTCTGTATACCTACAAGTGCAGTGAAAGTCATAGATATTGAGGCTAAAATGGACCTTAATACCTAGTCTGACCTACTGTAAATCACAAGGCACAAAGTTGCACTCCTCCTACCTTCACATCCATATATACTTTGCAGAAATGTGGCCAGTTTTGACTTAAACATATGAAAGCTGAGGGGAGCAGTCCCATCCAGTCTCCCTATGTCTTCCGTGTTTTATCCCATGGTTGTGCTACTGAGCACAAACGTTTTTAAAAAGCTTTTTAATGCAGATGTGTTTTTCTGCAAACTGCAGGTGATTGATATATCAGGCCTTGTTCTGCTTTCTTGTGCAGTGGGTTAGTTCTTGATTACTACAGCACTGTCCTAATTTACCAGCCAGGGACTTGAGGACTTCTAATGCTGTTGCTATGAAGTCACCCGATGTCCAGCCCTTGTGCACTTCTTGGCCCATCCACTGACACCTGCCTTTTGTCTTCCTTCACAGAAAATCCTGACCATGATCCCAACTGAGGAGGAGAAGCAAAAGATCCAGGAGGCACAGCTGGCAAATCCCGATGTCCCCCTGGGCAGTGCCGAGCAATTCCTTCTCACCCTCTCCTCCATCAGTGAACTCTCTGCCAGGCTCCAGCTCTGGGCTTTCAAGATGGACTATGAGATAGTGGAAAAGGTGAGAAAAAAGCAGGGAAGCAGGGGTGGAGACTCTTTGGAGGCTTTGCTTTAATCTTTCCCTGACCTTGTTGTTATATGAGTGTCTATTTTGAGGAAATGGTAAATGGGTCACTTCTGTTTCAGTGGCCAACCAGGAAACAGCTAAAATGATCCTTCATAACCTGTTCCTCTTATAAAAGAAAATTAGAGATTGTGTCTTCCTTCCTTTACTTTGTCAGCAATGACATCAAAACAAAGAAGAGGGCTAAATCCTTACCACATCTTCTCCAGATATTGTTATTCAGGAAATTCTTACTTCAGAGCAGTAAGAATTTTTCTTTGGATAAAGACTGAATGAGGACTACAGTATTCAGCCTTATATCATACAATGAGAGTATTGATCTTACATCCATTTGAACTAAGGAAAACACTATCCATTAAAGTTTCTTCTGTTTATAACCCACATTCGAAGTTATAAACAAAAGACAAGACAACCTTCAGGAGTCTTCTGTTAAGTCACAGACAGTTTTTGTCACCTTCTTCACAGATGGCATTTATTCAGATAACAATGTAATTGCATTGTCTGTCATGAATGATGAATCCCAGATAAACATTTCAAAATGACAATGTATAACTTTGGTGCATAGGTGAAAGAGAATGAAACTCTAGGCCATTTCAGCCGCTTGCTGACTTTCACAAGCTCTTTCAGCAGTCTAGCACAGGAACCTCATCTGGTTGCACTTCTGGTGCATAGCCCATGCATTCTCTTCAAGCAATTCTTTCCTGTATATAGTAATAATGTTTGTGTGTCTGTGCACATATGTTTATATTAAAAAATCAGTATAACTATATGTGATACGGATTCTGAGAGGTGGAACTCGCTTCTGAAAATTCCTAATGTTTACCTAGCCATGGTTATTTAATAAGGTATACAACAATGAATTGACTCACAGACAATAGTGTCAAGATTACTCAACCTCTGCTTAATTTTCTTAGATTTTAGGAAATGCGGTCACTCAGGATTTTTCAATTGTGACATTTTCGTCTAAGACATTTATATTTCTGATTTGTAAAACTTAAAATATTTGTATCTAACCTGAATGCTTTTTTTTCTCATTAAGGTATTTTTTGTCAGTTGGCTGTTTTAGGGGCTTGGGAGGGGATGGTTGGGTTTTTTACTCTGCTACAGCTGTTTGTTCTGCTTTGAAATTACCACAAGGCTAATGTGTTCCTTCCATATAAGCCGAGTTAGCTGTAGTTGTTAATCTGTGTATATACCTAGGATATCTATCTTCCTCCCAGTTGAAAATAACATTTGAAGCACTGCTAAAAGTTAAAGAAATTTTTAGTAAAGAAATTTTTGAGTTGCTTATCCTATAATGTTTATGCCACAGAGTTAATGAATTGCCAGTTAAAATCCATGTAGAATGAATGCTAGTATAAAATGTTTCAAATACGTAAATTACTCAGAGAAGCGATAGCTGGAGTGAAGATAAAATCGTAGGATCATAGAATAGTTAGGGTTGGAAAGGACCTTAAGATCATCTAGTTCCAACCCCCTGGCCATGGGCAGGGGCACCTCACACTAAACCATGCCACCCAAGGCTCTGTCCAACCTGGCCTTGAACACCACCAGGGATGGAGCATTCACAACCTCCTTGGCAACCCATTCCAGTGCCTCACCAATATTTTTATCCCTGTTGAAAGGTAGATAAGCTAAAGTACAGGACTTACCATAAAATGGTGCAAGAAATAACATATGATAACTGTGATACAGTAAGAGGAGCATGTGATAAGAAGCCCACCAGACAAGCATAGATAGGACAGACAACTTGGGTTTTAGTTCACTGAAGAGGAAGATATGTGGCCAGACATCAGAGGTAAGAGAGAGAGTGCAGCTGGGTGTCTCCAGTAACAAAAATTTAAAGTCAGAGTTTAAATTCTGGTAACCAATAAATATAAACATTATTTAGACTGAGATAAGGTACCATGAGCATATTCAATTAAAAAATGAAGTAGTCTGCATTAGTGATTATCATAATAAAGGGGTCCCATGATCTGCTAACTTTTTCTGTCCTTGAATCTACGTTTCTGCAGAAGATCCATCTGCAAATGGGCAAACCCTTAGGTGCCAAATCACTCAGCTTCACAGTTTTTGTAATTTTTTCATCCACCATATGCTTGATTTTTTTAAATTTATTTTAAAATTAGGAAAATTCAAAACAGTTCAGAATGTATTTATATTATTTATTGAGTCACACATATATTTTATGTAAGAATTTAATGAACCTTACTATTATTACTGTGAGCTGGAAATTTTAGATGGACACACCATGAAATACCTGAGTTGTTGATGTCAGGCTGGGGTTCTCATTCATGAGACTCTTTTGCTCATCATAGAATTATAGAATAGTTAGGGTTGGAAAGGACCTTAAGATCATCTAGTTCCAACCCCTCTGCCATGGGCAGGGACACTGCACACTAAACCATATCACCCAAGGCCTCGTCCAACCTGGTCTTGAACACTGCCAGGGATGGAGCATTCACAGCCTCCCTGGGCAACCTATTCCAGTGCCTCACCACCCTAACAGGAAAGAATTTCCTTCTTACATCCAACCTAAACTTCCCCTGTTTAAGTTTTAACCCTTTACCCCTTGTCCTATCACTACAGTCCCTAGTGAAGAGTCCCTTCCCAGCATCCCTGTAGCCCCCCTTCAGATACTGGAAGGCTGCTATGAGGTCTCCACGCAGCCTTCTCTTCTCCAAGGCTGAACAGCCCCAGCTTTCTCAGCCTGTCTTCATACAGGAGGTGCTCCAGTCCCCTGATCATCCTCGTGGCCCTCCTCTGGACTTGTTCCAACAGTTCCATGTCCTTTTTATGTTGAGGATGTTATAAATGTGGCTCAAATAAATTGACGGGAGCCAGACCAATGATTCAAATTGGTTTATTGAGCAAGCGACAGCAAGCAAAACAGCGCTGGGTGGCTGGGGAGTCTCTGCTCCGCCAACGGCACGTGCCCCACTTCCCCAAAGTCACTGATTTTATACTCTTCTTCATCCAATATACGTGTCACCTCCTGGCGTTCTCTGCGTCTGTGTGATCTGTAGATAAGGGGTCTCATTCTGTCTCCCGGTGGGTGTGGGGAGGAAGGCTCCTTATTGCCTTCCCCATGCATCATTTACTTTAACGGATACCCGCGGTCTGTAAGCAACATGTCAAAGCACTGTAATTTTCCAGTAACTATTAAGCAAGCAAGTAACTCTAAGCAAGTAACTCCTAAGCAAGCAAGATTTGATTAACAAACAGGAATTTACTCATTACAAGGACACCAGAACTGCACACAATACTCCAGGTGAGGTCTCACAAGAGCAGAGTAGAGGGGCAGGATCACCTCCTTCGACCTGCTGGTCACACTCCTTTTGATGCAGCCCAGGATATGGTTGGCTTTCTGGGCTGCAGGCGCACACTGAAGCCGGCTCATGTTCATTTTCTCATCGACCAACACCCCCAAGTCCTTCTCCTCAGGGCTGCTCTCAATCTCTTCTCTGCCCAGCCTGTAGCTGTGCCTGGGATTGCTCCGACCCAGGTGTAGGACCTTGCACTTGGCATGGTAAACAGAGTTTTGCCTGAGCAGGTCTTAGCTCCACCTCTATCAACCTGAAAAAAAACCAGCATGAAATTGCTCAAGAGAAGGGTTAAGTGAGGTATTGTTCATGTCTGGAGAAAAGCTTTCTATGCATAATGGAGTAATCTTTCTTGGATTGAATTTAATTAACTAAAGCAAGTCAGAGTACATTTGCAGCCTCAGGCTGTGAAGGGTTGAACTGAATGGATGGTCATTCTTTGGTCTTTTCAGAAAATAAAAAAGAAAGCTCTTTTCCAATCATCTGTTTTATAACGTGTATACTGTTTTAAAACTTTAATATGTACCTAAGGTGCTGTATGCCTCCTGAAGGTTATCAGTGGCACAATAGTTATTCTCGCTATAGGCATAGACAAAAAAGAGCTTCAATTTTAAATCTTCATTTTCAGACTTTTGATTGCTGTGAGAATTTACACTTTATTACTACCAGTTCTAAACTGAACTATTATGATGTGGATGACATCAATTTTCATTATCTCAAAGGGAATTTAAGGGTCTTAGAAAAAGAAATAGAATCTTTAGTTGTCCTAAATAATATTTTTTTTTCTTAAGGTCACTGTGGGCAAATATATCCTTATTGCTGACAACTTTAAAGGATCATAAATTAATATAAGCAGGTGTAGAGCTCAGAAAGTAGAAATTGTAAAGAAAAAGACTTGTTTCAGTTTCTCTTCTGAGCAGAAAGATTATTCCTGATTTCTGTCTCCCTAGGGACAGTGTGCTGTGTGATCTTTGTGCTCTTATATATAGTAAAATAGCACTACAGTTGTTGAATGACCCACTGTATTTCTCTAAGCAAGTGAAGTTCTTGGCTATTTTGCCTCTTGGTCTGAAATAAGTGTTCAAAAAGATTGTACTTCTGGGTGATGCTTGAACTGTCTGAAAATTTGTAAACTGCATCAGAGCTTTTTAAGTTTTACAGTGTCATCCTGATACTTTCTGTTGTTTAAAAAGGGTATGATAATTTATGCAGGCCAGACTTAATTAAATGCAAGCATGGCAAGTTACATTTTGGTCATCTCAAAGTTCTCATCCCAACCAAGATTTTACCCTTCCCAGAAAAGCATGACGTGAAGTTGTAGAGGTTTAGTTAGCTGAGCTTAATGCTAGTGTAGCAGGTTGCTAACGGTGCATATGTCAGATCAGCTCTGCAGAACATGTGTGCTACATCCTTCCTGTCCCAGGACCAGTGGATTCATTGCATGCATATGGTTGAGCTCATTTGTGCATGTGCATCAAGCATTCATCAGGTATTATCAGATATCTTGCAGCCAGAAATTCTGGACCAATCCTCTAATTTCATTCAAGTATAATTTTTAGGTGAAAAATAAATATGTGATAAATAAGGATACAAGGTATCTAAGGATATGCAGTAGCTCTGCAGTATGCATCTACTCTCTTTATATGGAAGGTGAGTTTTATAGGAAGCAAGAATAGGTATTTCATCTGATTATACACTGGTTTGTGTTGGGTTTTTGTGCTACAATAAAATAAAAAATAAAGATTATTTATAAGTGTGTACTCTATGCAACATAGTCTCAGCTTGCATAACTTACATGTAAATGGCTAAATGAAGGGCTACAGCATGGCCTGCTTTGGAAGCCTTCAATGTTATCTTTTTATTCACCTTCAGAATATTTTAACTTAACCTTTTAGGAATGATTTTTTTTAACAGGTTGCAAATTGATACAAGTAAAATAGTTCAAAAGCCTGTGTTCAAAGTACAGATGCAGAACAGTTTGATTCAACTCCATGATGAACAAAACAACTAAATGAGCCCTGACTTTAAATCAATTCAAAGAAATACGTGCAATAATTTATCGATTTTAGTTTCAATTTAATAAAGTCTTGGATTATTTAGTACCTCTCCTCTGATATAAAAATTACGTTGCTCCCTATGCCATCTCTTAATTTGTCTTGAATTTGCCATATTTCTTTCTCTTTTCAAGGGATGCATTGTTCTTTAGTGACTAGAAATGTCTGTTTCTTTTATCTTTGTGCTCTTATTTATGGTAAAATAGCACTACAGTTGTTGAATGACCTACTGTATTTCTCTAAGAAGGTGAAGTTCTCGGCTGGTTTGCCCCTTGGTCTGAAATAACAGCTTAATTTTGGCTTCTTGGCTCGTAAAGAGTGTAGCAATTTGGGAAAAGAATGCTGCTCACAGATGCTTAGGATGGTATTTGGAGATAGAAACAATGTGAACTGTTACTGTGCATACAAAATAAATAGCCGTGGGCCTCACACAAAGACATGGAAATAAGGTCTGTCAACTCAATTACCCTCATTCTCTTCCTTTGAAACTCTCCCGTGTGTAGTTCACTTCTCGAGGTAATGGAACAGAATTTATGTTTTCAAGCCTTATCAGTTTACATACCTGTACTCAGATAACATGTGTGAATGGAAGATGCATTGAGTTCAAAGATTAAAATGAGAACACTTCTAAAGTTTGATGTTTACAGTAGGGAGTTGGTTTTTTTTTTCAGTTTTAAAGTCACACAAGCACAAAACACATCTAAAACTCAGAGGTGGCCATCATTGGAAGAAAGTTCTAGGGTCAGGCTACAAATGCCAAGTTTAACCTTTTTTTATTAGTTTTTCAATGATTAGAAATTTTATTTATTAGAAGCTTTTTTATCATTTGGGGCAGGGGGATGTTCATGCGTGAAACTCCAATGCAGCAGCCCCTTCTGATTTTCTTTCCTGTTTAGAATCAGAGAATAATCCCCAAGACAAGTAAGGCAATTGCATACATAAAAAACAACATTAGGAAACTATTTTATGTTTTGGGTTGTTTTGGTTTTTTTTCTCTCCTTGCATGTGATTTATTAGCTGAAACATGGAAGAAAGCCAGCACACATGGCCAGTTTGCACTCTGCAAGATGCCAGCTCAGAGCTTTTTTCAGTAATTAATCTAAACCATAGAATTAAAAACTTAAAGCAGCTATAGCCAACTGCAGCCGTCACTTTCTTGGTTTTCTTCTCATGGCAGGAAGTTGCAGAGCCACTTCTAGACCTGAAGGAAGGAATGGACCAACTAGAGCACAATAAAACTTTGGGATTTATCCTTTCTACTCTGCTAGCCATTGGCAACTTTTTGAATGGAACCAACGTAAGTCTGATACCCCAGCATTTCACCTGCACCTTTTTCCCTCAGAAACACAGAAGTCAAAACTGTTACGACAGTTGCAACCCAGTATTTATTTTTAACCAGAAAAATAATCTGAAAAAAAGAATCTGTTTTGTCTTTTTATTGCGTGTCAGGTTGTTCTTTTCCTCTTTTAGTATAACCTGAAGGAAATGTGGCTCTAGGCACCCTTCTGGTATAACTCCCTTGAGTTTAATATTGATGCTTCCCATTCTAATTGTGAGAAGTGTGTCATGAGTCATTTCACTGCAGATGGACTGATTTTTAGGCCTATCCTTCAACAACTTAACAATAAGTAAAAGCAGTAAATTCCTTCTCCTGTAAGACTCTTCCTCTTCTTTCTTCCCCTCTGCCCCTACTCGGTAATCATTTTTGTCTAGTAATCTGCATGGGAAGGAGTAAATATTTTTCTTTTTCACTTCTTCCTTTTTTCCCCCTTGCAGGCCAAAGCTTTTGAGTTGAGCTACCTCGAGAAGGTTCCAGAAGTCAAGGACACAGTGCACAAGCAGTCCCTCCTGCACCATGTCTGCACTATGGTGGTCGAAAAGTTCCCAGACAGTACTGATCTTTATTCAGAGATCGGGGCCATTACTAGGTCAGCCAAGGTATGTCTAGTGGGTAAATATATATATATATATATATATATATATATATATATGTGTGTGTGTTTTAAGAAAAACTCTTTAAAGTGAAATATTTAAGATTTTATTTGAATCTTTGCTTTTTGGTCACAGCACTTTTTATGAATGTGGATTCATTGTGTTGTTCGCACTGAATTTCAAAGATGCCAGCACTCTCTTCTGAGCTTCATCTCTGATTGTCAGGTAGTTTCCTTAACAATACACTAACAGGCAGCCTCGTTATCACAACCCTTTTAATATTATATACATTATTAATAATGTATGCAACTATTAGGACCTATTTTCAGGTTAAAACTTTATCTGTCCAATATCTTCAAATTTCTTTATTCTGTGGTTTGGGGAATCTTTTTTTTTTAAGGCAGATACTAATTGTATTTTAAGTGGAAGGAATGGTCTTTTTTGGTAATAAAATTGTTTCCAGAATTAAAGTGTCCTTGAAATATTTTTACTCATTTTCTGTCCTCCTCCGAACAATAATTTCTGTGATTAGGAGTTAGGGAAGATAACTGGAAGTAAAGGAAACTTGTAGCAGCACCTGTTTTTAAGAAGTGGCATTCCCTTGGCTAATGCATAGGTCCGGTCAATGGCTCAGCTTGGTAAGCAGATGATTTATTACTGTTGCTAGCACCTTGTTGGCTGTCGGGAGAAAAGGACAACATGATCCTGAATAATACAATTTTTTTTTAAATGCAAAACTTCAATCTTATTTTGGTTCCTTGCACAGTTCTTATGACAGTGAAGTCATAATCTAGTTTTGGCTGCTGTTGAATTTTCCAGTTCCAGGATTTACTGTGTGAATATATTGAACAGTCAAAACTTTGGTTTTTATCACTCTATTTCATAGAATAACTTAGGTTGGAAAGGACCTCTGAAAGTCATCTGTTCCATCATCCTGTTCAGTGCAAGATGAAATAAAACCAGGCGCTCAGATCTGTGTCTGAATCTCAAATAATCCATTTATTTTTTTTTTCCTTTTTGAGATCATTTCCACACTTCTCCATCTTACTCTTTAGAATGGGTTAAACAATAGCAAACACAGTATTCCACCCTCTTCTTATAAATGTTGTATGCTTACTATATTGTCCTGTTCTTTTTGTGCTATGTTTTGTTAGCTGTCCTGAGGTTTTCTTTGTGGTTTTTGACTGTTGGTATCCTTTTGACACCAGCTGTCTTTGGGCAGTTCACAAGGACATTCAGGCAGCCTTCTGAGCTGATCAGGCAATTCAGAACTCAGCCCAATGCGGAAAGGAGTTTGGTACTGCCTGCAGTGTGCTCTTCATTGTGATCTACGGTAATGAACATGATCTGCTGAAACAGATTTACTGCTTATCTCTCAATTCCCTAATAATCTTAAATAAGGACTAATCTACATAATTTCCTGCCATCTGTACATTTTACTCTCTCAATCTGCTTCCTTGTTTTCCAGATAATTTTGAATTATAAAGTACAAATGATGAGACACCTGCTGTTCACCCTGTCATCAGATGAGAATCAATATGTATTCCTTTTCTTTTGCTCTCTTAACCTCACACTTCATAGGTGGCCTTCCATGAGGGTCTTGTAAAATTTTAGAAGTCTGATTTTCTTTACTTGCTCTTACCTGTCCACTATTTTATAAACATACTCAGAATGTAGTGACTGATGTATTTAAATTCCTGTTATTCATACAGGTTACCAGGTACAGTGATAAAGCTTGGAGCTCTGCAGTCTCTTGAATCAAACTTGCTGCTCTTGTAAAGATAGACGAAACTTTGCTATTCTCTGACTCTTAAAGTTACTAAGTGTAGTGAAAGCATGCCCATTCAGCCAGTGGTTCAATTTGCTTATGTTATTTGATGTCAGAATTCTTGTCTTCTGCTAGTTTAGTGCTTTGTAAGATACCCTCCTCCAACACGTTTGTTTTTATCGAGTCTTCAAACCTTGCTATTAATTCACTTTTATTAAAAAATAAAATACAGAAAAATCAGCTACCAGAATAGGTTTCTCCCCAGCATCCTTCCTTGCCTGTCTTTTGTCTTCAGTTTTTTCATCCCCAGTGATGCAGGACCCCCTACATATTTTCTTTTTTTTTTTTTTTTGGATTCCATAAAAGAATTTGTGGCTTTTGTTTTATATCCATAGATATTTGCTCTTTGGATTCCATCTCTCTTCGCCTAATTTTCCTCTTGCACAGCCTATGTTTAGGCTCTGTTTTATTGCATTCACTGTGGTTGGTTTCTCTCATGTTTGGAAGGGTTTGGTTTTGTCTTTTTTTTTTCCCTTTGATTCTTATTCTCTTAACATTTCACTATATTGGTTTCTACTTTCCTGCTTCTTCTTTTTGTTAAGAAGTTATTTCGCTTTAGTTTTAGATTGGGACCAAATTAATCACTAAAATTCAAATTACCATAAAAAAAGGAAGAACCTTTGTTTTCCAAAATCCACACCACTGTGTATGGTGTACTCTCAAGTGAATCTTGTATTTTTCACTCTTAGAAAGTGTAAGAAAGCTTAACCTAATGCTGTCACTTATAAACAATTTTTAGGTCTAAGAGCGTGCAAGATTGAGCACAGTCTTTCAGTCTGTGGTTTGCTGATCTAGTGGCCGTGCCCAAAGCGGATGAAACTCTGAAAAGGCCAGACAAAATCACATTAAGAGAAATTATAGCCTTAACCTTCCCCTTGATGCCCAAGGTCTCCCTCCTTGGGATGTTCCTCCATGTGTTATACCACTGATGGATTACTGTAACAAACTCTATTCCCACTCGATCTTAACTGCCACAAATCAAAGAGTTAGGACATGGAAGCCATCCAAGCTGCCCTCTTTAAGGGAATGTTCATAGACGAGGCAAAATCTTGGTTTAGGAAAACTGACAGGAAGGGAGAAGTAATATTTCACTGTGGATTAGGCTGTATTTTGAGCTCTGTTTTGTCTACAAACATCTTTCAGAAACCACAGAGACTAAGCAGTTTCCATCCTGTAGATAAATAGAGATGCCCCTTCCCCTGAGATGCGCATCATATGAGAATTTCCTGAGTCTTAGGTCATGAAATGAAAAAACATAAAAAAAAATAGGCTGCCTCACCAGAAAGGAGTTAGACCAGAAACAAAATGGTACAGTTATTGCAAAACTTGTGGGTTTTGTTGAAGGACTGAAGTCATAAATGGCAAAAGAGAAGCAAACACAAGTGGAAAAATTACAAAAAAAAGAATTCTAGATAAATAAAAAGTATTCATAGTTGTATAAGAGTATATAAGATTGTGCAGGGTACTGATTGTTTAGCATGCCATGATTTAAAGTACTTCCCTTTCTTTTCTTTTCCTCTCCCTCCCTCCCCCCACAACATACTGCAAGTTGTTTATTCACTGGACCTGTACCAGGACTGATATACCTAATACTGAAGCAGATCCCCAGATTTCTGCAGTTAAACTCAGTATTGTTCCTAGAAATTTCCTTATCAGTACGTCAAGGAGGGGTTGCATCAGCACTAGTCTCTTCTCTGTTAGTTAATAAAAATATATTCTTATTAAAAAAGTTCATCTTCTCTCTCTACCCCAAAAGTATCTTCCCCATGCATATGAAAGCTGACCTGCTCCATAGACTAAACTAGTAATTGTCCTTTTCTTAACCTAATTTTCATTTACTTACAAGATACCAAACTTCTGGCTGTTTTTTAACCCCTGCAGCAGAACGCTTTGGTTATTGGCACATACTAGGCAGGAGAGAAGCAGGAAGCTTTTGAAAGTAAGCAGTAGGAAATGTTAACAGCACAGGGGAAGGGGCAAGGATTGTGGGTAGAAAAGAAGTCCTGACGAGACTAAGACATACACAAGGGAGAAGGAAGCCTGCAGCTGCCCTCCGAGGTGCTTGGCAAGGAGCTGGGGGTAGCAAGGAAGTGTCTGAAACAAGTATCTGGCATGCTGTAGCTTCTGCTTGCTACACTGGAAATCAGAGAAAGGAGGGAAGATCATGCTGCCTCCTGTGCTGATTCAGTAGGATTTCTCTTGTCTTACTTCACAGGAAGTATTTGTGTGCAATTTTCATTCAAGTATGCTTTCCCTATGTTTCCCTAATTCAAACAAATAAATGCCAAAAGTCTAATTATTTTCCACGGGGAAAAAAAAGGGTTGGGGGATGCAAGTTTCTTACAGTTGTATCATTCTTTGTGGTGCCAGCTGCAAGGACTGCTACAGCTGTTTCGGTTCCTGGCACCAGCTAGCGGGTGCAGAGATGAAGACAGAGCAGGGTAAGGCAGTTCCTGCTAGTTGCAGGGCAGACTGGGCTGAGGGGAAGGATCTTCAGTGGCAAATGGGACTTCAAGGCTTTATCTGAAAGAGGGCAAATGAAATTTAGTACGTGTGCCTGACCGCACTGTGATGTTTCAGTAATGTTTTAACTGCAAATAGTGTCGCAGGTGCTGTAACACCATCTGAAGGGACCTATATCATGACTTAACTGGTATGGTTCCTCTTCATCCCAGAGTGTGGGAGCACATACAGCATCTGCAGAAAGATCCCATATTGGTATGTTTATTGTAGATAGCTTAAGAACTAAAATGAAGTGGGAATGTAAAATACTGATTTGGGGCCTTAAACTGCATTTCCATGTTCAGAGAGAAATGCTGAGGGTAGGCTCATCTGGTCACACCTCAGTAAGCACTTATGTCCTTTAGTTTTTAATTAGTGTATTGATGCAGGTGTTCTTATTTCCAAAATTATTTTGGCAGGATGCCACCTCTTACCCTAGGATTAGGAATGTCTGGACAGAGCCTCCTTTATATTTTGCTTGCTTTTGAGAGCTGGCATCTATTTCACTTAAACAGATGACCAACAGAGTGAAAGTAGGACTAACACTGGTCTTGGGATGCTTCACTGAGTGTCACAAGACTTAAGGCAGTGTGGAAATGCTGGAGGAGACAGCGTTTTGAACATACGCCACAGAAGGTCGCTGTACTCAGATGACAGTGTGTTTGCAAGGAGCGAT